ATCTCACTACCGCCAATACCAGAGTTTGAAAATAAAAGTTGAAATTTTATATTCTCATTTTGGATTTTGAAATCTCACTACCGTCAATACCACAGTTTGAAAATAAAAGTTTGAATTTTTTTTTGGTTTTTTAATTTTGAAATCTCACTACCGTCAATACCACAGTTTGAAAATAAAAGTTTGAATTTTTTTTTGATTTTTAATTTTCAAATCTCACTACCGCCAATACCACAGTTTAAAAATAAAAGTTTAAATTTTATATTTTCACTTTGGATTTTGAAATCTCACTTTTTATTTTTTTCATGAATCTCACTACCTTAGAACTTGACACTTTATACTTTTATTTTATAAAACTGGGGCATTTTATACCTACAGGGGGGGCCGTGGATGAAACATGTTTCTCTTAAATGCCGTTTTAACCTTTAAAATTAGGCATACTATTGGAAAATGTGCTCGCTCCCATTTCCGAAGATATTAATTGCGGTTTCAACCACTAACCGTCGTTTTATTCTTCTATAATGTGTGCCTTGTAAGTACAATGACGTTAAATTTGGTCGTCGTCAAAACTTTTGCCGTTTTAGCCTTCAAAATGTACTCGAAATGTAGTCGGTCGCTTTTCCAAATATTTTCAAAAAAATTAAATCTTCTTTTGTAAATCCTGAAATCATTTAAAATGTGCAATTTATTCTATTCTGGCGTATAAAACGTAAAAATAAAATTATAATTCGATTTTTTTATTTTTGAAGAGGAGACCGAGCACATTTTCGAATATTAGGTCCGCTTTTAAAGGTTAAAACGACATCTAAGAGAAAACGTTTCATCAACGACCTCCCTCCCCCCATTTGTGGACAATGTACCTACTAGAAGCACATTTTAGCACATTTGAACTACAATATATAGGTTGAAAAGCCTAAACACACTTTTTTCAGAGACACCCTGCATATGTTAGCAATAGCTGGCCAAACGGCTCGACCGAATTGGCTGAAAATCATTGTGGACACCTATGAAATCCATCGATTTTTTTTTCAAATTTAATTTTAGTCAAGTGTTTTTAAAATTTCACGGGTACTTCAACTAGTTTTCAATATTCCTATATAGTTATATAATATATATTTTATTGATAATTATTATAATATGTATGATTTCTTTTCCAAACTAGTTGTATGTGGTTTACTGATATATTCAACATTTGTATCAACACCTGAGCAAGCTATTGCTGTCTTCACCAGTAAACGGTTCGAGCCAACCCTTACTCCAAGCCAGGTCAGATACCATGGTTCGAAGATGGGCACGTTCGGCCTTTTCATTTCGTTCATTTATCATTCGTGTTCGTTTTTTTCAAATGTTCAAAAATTGTTTTTTTTTCTCAAAATTTTCGTTCATTTTCCATCTATTTCGTTCGTTTTCTCAGTGAACGACCGTTCAGTAAAAGCATTAAAAAAACGTTGGTTCAATATAATCGTTTGTTCAGGAAAGATAGTTTCGTTTTATCAACAAAAAATATCGTTCTTTCGGCTGGGAATGTAAACGTTCGTTTGTATTTTTTTTCGTTAGTTTTTGAAAAACAATTGTTTCATTATTTGAACGATCCAAGTTGTTCTTCCATCGTTTTTTTTTTGAACGACACCATCATTCATGAAAAATGTCATTCTTTCAATTATAAACGATTCCCATCTCTACCGTGGTCAGCATAAAGATCAATACTAAATCGTTAACTGAAATAATGATATAATACAAAGGCTGACACATATGTCAATACAGTATCCTGCACTGAAATGTTAACTGAAATGATGATATAATACAAAGGCTGACATCCGGTGCGCTTACATCCAGGGTTTAAATTAGACATCCCCTAAGCGATTAACAAACAGACGACCCCAGGCGTGGTTGCACACGTATCGTGAGGGGAAGTACTGATGGGTGTGACTTCCTTGGGGACCAGAACATCCCCAGAAGTGTTTTTTAATAATAATAATATGTCAATACAGTATCCGGTACTGAAATGTTAACTGAAATAATGATATAATACAAAGGCTGACACATATGTCAATACAGTATCCGGTACTGAAATGTTAACTGAAATAATGATATAATACAAAAGCTGACACATATGTCAATACAGTATCCTGTACTGAAATGTTAACTGAAATAATGATATAATACAAAGGCTGACACATATGTCAATGCAGTATCCGGTACTGAAATGTTAACTGAAATAATGATATAATACAAAGGCTGACACATATGTCAATACAGTATCCTGTACTGAAATGCTACATAAGAACGAGTTGTTGGTGTGTTTCTTATTTAATTATCAAGTATTTACTGAAATTTTAGTAACTACACCGTATTGATATATATTTAATATGCCGACCATTTCTTTAATTTAAATTGTTTTTAAGAAAGAGGAATTCTTCAATTATATTAAATTATTTTAAAATTGTAATTCTAATTTTTTGTTTAGATGTATTATCTGAACCATCTGAACAGCTTAGTGAGGTCAACACCACCTGTTCTGAAATCTCCTTTTGTTAGTCTCTCCAATCTAGTGATAGAACCCATACCACTCTTTAACAAGTAAGTATTGAAAGCAAAAAAAAACTAAATCTCAAAAATAGCTGAAAGATTGAACTGTTTGGACGGCGAAACTCTCTTGCTAAGCTTCAGCGATTAAATTTGAAATCTACTTCGTTTACTTTTGAAGGAAGTTTAACGCCTTTAATCGGGGGAAGTTGTCCTTCTTTGGCATAAATGAGGTATTCCTTTAAGGTTCAATCATTAAGTATTAAATGAACCGTTTATGTTCGTTTTAATGAGTTTAAGCTGGATCGCTGATCTACCTGCCGTCGGTTCAAATCTGTAATCACCGATTCAAAGTTTAAGATTTAGGAGCTGATTCAAATCGGTGATTCAGGATTTGAACCGGCGCGGTGGTTGGCAGTTCAGCGACCTCTTCAGTTAATTCAGTTCGGTCTTTGAGCGCTTAAGTTAAGATTTAAAAGTTTCGCCCTCAAGCAGAGGAAACCAGAATTAGCTGGTCTGGATCCGGTTTTGTGGATCAGTTCATCCCCCCTAAAGTTTAACCATTTAAACCAAAGCAGCGTTAAGAATACCTCGTAGAATTAATCAAATAAATATTCTTTGTTTGATATCTTAAAAGGAAGAAAACATTGAAGAGTAAATAACTTACAGCGTTAACACCCACCCCCCCCCCTCCCCTCCATGTAAAGATACATTTTAGAATCAAATGGGCATTTTCATACGTAATTCAATAATTTTTTAAGTTTTATAAATCTGTTGAAATAGTTAGAAGTGGTGCAGTTGGCCGGGGGGTTATGTCACTGATCGCAGAAAAATACATCGAACTCTAAGCAATAAATTATTTTTTTAATGCTTGATTTTCAGGGCTGGTGAGGGCTGTACTCCTTATGTAGAAATATATCAAGATAAAACTAAGGCGTTGAGTACACTGCAGGATTACAGTCGAATGAAAGGGTAAATTATCTTATATGTTTTTATTGTTGTTAAAGAGAAAGTCTACGTTTTTTTTATTTTCTTACGATTAAAGAAGATATCGTCTCATGAAAAAATCTGATCAATTAAATTTTGTTTATTTGACAAATACCTTGTGATAGTTGAAACTTTCGTGTTTTTTTCAGGGACAAATTTTAAATAATGAAGGCGCAATTTTAGATATTGTGATTTTTACTTCGAAAAATTATGCTGGGACCGAATTTAATAAAGAGCTTGTTGGTTACTGCCTACCGTTGGTTCAAATTTGAACAACATATTTAAAGTTAAAGATTCAGGAAGAATTTAAATTGGTGATTTAATTTTGAACCGACTGTATGCAGTTCAGAGACCCCTCAAATTCATTAAATTCGATCCTGTTGGAGTATAAGATAGGTTACATTAATAATTATCTAAACCTCTTTGGTTAGCGTTGCATAAAGTCCGAATTAATGAAAAAAGTGAAGTAATTAAACTAGGTGCGGATAGTGTGGTTAAGATGTTTCAAGAGGTGTAGTTCCACCTATCCATACCTAGTTAAACTACCTATTTATGAATACGACCTGTTAATTTTTACTTTTTTCTAGATATAGCGTGATATCTGGAGATGAGTGTGCTAGTATACCACTCAATATAACAGTGTGTGGAGATGTTACCGTAGCTATCTATCATGCAAGACAGGCTCTCACCAAGACGACCGGAATCAAGATTTGTCAATTCCAGTTTCATACAAACAGTTTAACTCCAGGACGACCGTCTAATGTGTGGAATTTACCACAGCTGGATCAAATAATAGAACCAGTCCGATATGCTGATGACTTTAGGGTAGTACTAAACTGTGATACTAGTGAAGAGTGTTCTGGGAAGAGTTTAACCTGGCCTTCACCTCAGTCGAAGCAGCTGTTGTTTAATTCTGAGCAGGATTACGAGGCGACCAGCAGGCTGGTCAGCTTGCCTCCCAATAAGTTCCTGGATAATAATCCAGGTAGGATCCCTGACTTTGTTATGGAGAGCTTAAATCTTTTTTTGCATTTTGGTTTTCCGTTTAAATGTCAGGTTTTTTCACATATTGATTTTACCATCTTATAAAGCTACAAAACAAATTACAGGTCACATTATCTGGCCTTGATTTCACTACATGGTTTTAACAAACAACAAAATTTAAAACAAAAACTAAATGTTTATTTTAGGATTTGGGAAACCTTTCCCTGAGAGTAGATCTATCCCTGTACACCTGAATTGTACAGCAGCTCCTTCAATTATAGAGAACAAACCTACCCCTGTAAATAATACTGTACCAGCTAACAGTGCTTTCGATCTTTTAGGTATGTACATCGTGTGCAGTGTATACTAGCGTATTACGTACTTAGTATTGCATTAACGAGTCACAACGGTTTATTACCCTTATAAGCTTTTCTTTATCTAAATTAGAAAAATTGAAAAATGTCTCTTCTGCACAAATGACCTGTTCCTTTCTTGCTTCAGAAACAATCAATAAATTATAAGAATTAAACAGTTTTCAAGGATGAAAAACTAGGCTTCCACATCGACCAGATTAAGGTTTTAATGATACTCTTTAAAGTAGAACGTATCTGAAAATTTCAACATAAGTTTCAATCTTCTTTCATAAAAGCAGATTTCTTTTAAGAAAATTTAGGTATTAATCAAGCATATTGTTGAAATATTGGGAATATTTTTTTCCTATCTTTTCAAAATTATTTAATTATTTAATTAGTTAGAATTAGATGAAGCATTCAAGGGTACCGATTATTGATTAGATAGAGGTTTCAAGGTTACCGATTATTGATTAGATAGAGGTTTCAAGGGTACCGATTATTGATTAGATAGAGGTTTCAAGGGTACCGATTATTGATTAGATAGAGGTTTCAATGTTACCGATTATTGAATAGATAAAGGTTTCAAGGTTACTGATTATTGATTGGATAGAGGTTTCAAGGTTACCGATTAATGATTGGATAGAGATTTCAAGGTTACCGATCATTGATTAGATAGAGGTTTCTAGGGTACCGTTGTGAATCGGGTATTGCCATCTTTACATGAAGGTTCAGTTGACCTTACACTTTCTGTCACTTTTAATACATTGTTCTAGGGCTTAATAGTGATCCAGTAGTTCAACAACCTAAGGTATTTTTTTTAATGTCTTTTTGTTTTTCTATTTTAATAATTTGATCTTTGAGATTACACACTACGCAGATATGGAAAGTTTAATAGATTTGTCTAAATTAAATTATCAAAACCCTACGTTGAAAAAAAATATCATTTATAAACTCCATATGAAAGATTTTTCTCACAAAAATATTCCAAAAGCTAAGATTGGCCGAGAAAAAATCTCAAAAGAAACAAAAATTAACTTGCCTCCCACTACCCCTTGGGGGGGGTGAATTCTTAAAAATGGTCTAATTGCTTCAAGCAATCTCTTTAAAGTATGATTTGATTTGATTTGATTTGATTTGATTTGATTTGCACGAATACAAATATTTCCTTATTGTTGAAGGTTAAGATATCGCCCACTGAAGATCTGATTCCGGGGTTCGGAACTCAACCGGAACCAAGTGAATCTTCAGGTATTAGGATAGGGTTAAAGAGGGAAGGGGTAGTTCTGAGCTCAACCGGAACCAAGTAAACTTTCAGGTGTTAGGATTAGATTAAATCCCGAGGGGGGGGGGGGGGTCGATGCTCAACCTTAACTATAAATTTTCGAGTGAATAATCACAAAATATCCCTAGTCTTGGCATTTCCAAGATGTGGTTTGTCTTTTTTTGCTTTCAATATTATAACTGAAGATATGAAGATTTTTTTTCTTTAAGTTTCGAAAATATGTACCACAGCATTTTTGTCTAGTTGGAGGAGTGGAAGGGTTCGATTTTCTGTCAGAACTAAATCAGCCAGCACCCTCTAATCCGCAGGTAATTGGAGGATTTTACAGTGGTCGAAATTTATAAACAGTGAGAAGTAGTTCGAATTTAAAATCTGACGTATTTTTCAATTTTGTTGGTAGATTTTCAAACATAAATCGATATACATTTTTTTGACCAGCCAGAAACCTTTCTTGGGTTCATTCGAGTTTAAACACAAATAATTGGCCCAACTATAGTTATGCCGTTTTGACAAGCAATTAATAATTGGTAGAAAACTGATTTTATCGGCGTTCAATTAAAAAAAAACTATTTTCCGGATCCTGGCTGGAAAAACCTGAATGCAAGACGAATTGAGTACATGAGGGAGCATCAAGCAATCCCTTTAGACTCTTATGATTTGATTTTATTTATCTTCTTTCAGAATTCTTCTGGCTTAGCTGATCTACTAGGGGAGCAATCAAGTGAACTGCATGAAACACCCCTACTAGATATTGGAGCGGCCGAACCTGTAAAACCGGTTCCGAGGGTCACCAGCTCACCTAATTTAGCACACAAAGGTTTTTATGGTTTAAACTTTATAGGTACCGTTCACGATTTTGGACATTTCATATCTGAAAATAGCATTGCAGATTAACGACATAAAATTTAATATAAAATCAAATTTGATTTTGATTTGATAAAAAAAGACATGTTGATTGTTATGTTTTTTTTTCAGGAAATCTGGGAACCAATCAGGACCCTTTCGCGGATTTTAGCACATTGACGTCATCACTATCCAATCAAAATCTGTTGGCCGGCCAGCCGATGGGAGCGTCCGTACCAATGAAGTCTTCCCAGCCAATGGGAGCGTCAAAGCCAATGGGAGGGTCAACACCAATGGGAGCTAATCCGTCTAGTTTTCTTGGATCTATGGCGGCAAAACCCACACCAGCGGCAAAGACTCCAAATAATTTATTAGGAGGTTTGATTGTTTATTAGATTAAAATTATAAAATATTTTTTTTTCTCGTTTAATTTAATAAATTAATCTTTACGTTTCTTCAGATTTCGATCTGTTTGCGGGAACGCCCACTCCCAGCTCTCCTGGGCTAAACAACAACCACGCCCACGGCAGTAGTATGGGCGGGAAGAGCCCCGTGTCCGGAAACCTATTCCCTGGTAGTAACGGTAACCTGTTCCCTGGTAGTAACGGTAACATTTTTCCTGGTCAGAAACCAAGTAGCCCGGGCATGACTGCTGGAGCTTCAGTGCCGGGCATGACCGCTGGAACCCTAGGACCGAAAGTATCTACGCCCATGGGTCCAAACTACAGTAGATCTTTCTTCCAACCCCAGGTAGGAAGAGATGAGACGGATTCAAGGAGATTTTTGGATAGCATAACGCCGTTTTCACAAAGCCCCCCTGTAATCCTTGATTTTTTAAGAAGAAAATTAACATATATATGTTTTTAACAGGAACCATCTTTGGGAGGTGTTAAACCAAGAGTGTCTCAGGGAGCTTTTGATGATTTACTTGGAGGCTTTAATCCTACATCAAGGTATTTTTTCAAGATAATGTTTTATTTATGAGGGCGAGTTCATTTAAGGTTTTAATTATTAAGTAAAAATAAAACTAAAAAACCAGTGTTAAAAGTTAAAAAAAAAACTTTTGTATCAACATTATGCTTCATGCTAGGCAACCTTCAGAGTCCGAATTTAATGAATTGGAGCCGCGTTTCAAATCCTCAAAAAAACCTATATCAATTGAGCGCCGGCTCAAATCTTGAAACATTGAATACGATTTCAAGTGGAACCAAACATATTTGAGCCTCAGGGTACATGGTGTTTATGTTTTTAGGGACAATCAAAACCGTACAATTGGAGAAATGAAGAAGGTTGAAGTAACAAAGACGATGGATCCTGATGATATAAAGATTATGGAATGGAAGGAAGGGAAGGAGAGAAATATTAGAACATTACTCTCTTCACTTCATAAAGTTCTCTGGGAGGGGGCACGGTAAATATATGTTTTATTTAAAGGTTATATGTTTTTATTATTTTGTGCTAATTTTGAAAATAAAGCAGCCAGGAAGCTGTGACCGGATTTAATGAATTGCCAGAAGTCGTTGAAGTAGTTAAACTTTTAACTATTCTAATAACAAAGAGTCGGGTTCTGATTCAGCCAATAGCTTGATGAACCCGATATAAGCGGCGCTCAGATTGGAGGGAGTTGTCAACGAATTTTGCTACTGTCATCTCTCCAGGGTTTTTTTTAAATCTTGATTTTACAAAATTGGGGAATCAGGATTTGAGCAAGTGAGCACATAAGAAGTGTCATCTTTCAAACTCAATAAATTCAGCCTCTGTTCGCACATATATAAAAAACTTTTGACCCTAAGTATTCACTTATGCGCATGCTTTCTCTATGCTCAAGAGTTCAATTTTTATTCTCATCATTTCCTCCCATTTCCTGAATTTTTTCATTAATCCCAAACTCAAATTTGAAATATTTTTGTTGTTTAATAAACCTCAGATAAAAATCTTAAACTTCGTTAATTTAAATAATCTTTCATTTGATTGATAATATTTATGATTATATAAAATAGAGCTTTGCACTTCTAGGAAAGGGCACAAAGTGCCCGAAGGATCAGGGTAAGTTAAATTTTGTTTCTGTTCTAGATGGAATGAGTGCAATATTAGCCAGTTGGTGGGCCCTTCAGATGTTAAGAAAATGTATAGGTAAATAATTAATTTGCTATAAAATGAAACTTTTTTTAAGTTTTGGGGATTATTATTTTATTTGATCATATTATTTTAATCTACTATCCATTTTATCGTTTCCCTTTTTTATTTCCCATCTTGTTTCCATTCATTTTATTTTTGACTATTTGTGTTCCTTCATATCTATTTATCTTCCTCCATTTTGTTTTCCTCCATCTTGTTTTCCTCCATCTTGTTTTCCTTCATCTTGTTTCCCTCCATCTTGTTTTCTTCCATCTTGTTTTCCTTCATTTTGTTTTCCTCCATTTTTTCTCCTCCATCTTGTTTCACTCTATCTTGTTTTCCCTCATCTTGTTTTCTCTCATTTTGTTTTCCTCCATCTTGTTTTCATTCATCTTGTTTTCCTTCTTCTTGTTTTTCTTTATCTTGTTTTCATTCCTTTAGTTTTCATCCATCTTGTTTTCCTTCATTTTGTTTCCCTCCATCTGGTTTTCCTCCATCTTGTTTTCCTCCATCTTGTTTTTCTCCATCTTGATTCTCTCCATATTATTTTCGTCCATCTTGTTTTCCTCCATCTTGTTTTCCTCCATCTTGTTTTCCTCCATCTTGTTTTCCTCCATCTTGTTTTCCTCCATCATCTTGCTTTCCTCCATTTTCCTCCATCTTGTTTTCCTCCATCTTGATATACTCCATCTTGATATCCTCTATCTTGATTTCCTCCATATTGTTTCCCTCCATCTTGATATCCTCTATCTTGTTTTCCTCCATAGTGTATCCCTCAATCTTGATTTCCTCCATAGTGTTTCCCTCCATCTTTATATCCTCCATCTTGTTTCCCTCCATTTTGTTTTTCTCCATCTTGTTTTCCTCCATTTTGTTTTTCTCAATCTTGTTCTCCTTCAACTTGGCTTTCCATCTTGTTTTCTACCGACTGTTTTCCTCATTTTATTTTCTCCATCATGTTAATTTTTTAAAATTAATTTACTTTTTCCTAGTTTTTGTTTTACAGTTGTGTGACTGTGTGCTGTTTAGGAAAGCTTGTTTGACTGTTCATCCTGACAAGTGGATGGATACTGATTATGAGAATATATCTAAGCTGACATTCATGGAGCTCAATGAGGTTTGACGAAAAAATAATTTTATGTCACTCTTTATTCCTGTTGATCTTTTGGTCCTGTCCTTTCATAGTTCTTCTGTCAAATTATAGCAACCTAGAGTAATAAAACCAGAAAACTCTGAAATAGGAAGACGACTCTTAAAATCAAGTTCTGACTTTAATAAGTTCAATAAGCATGAGACACAGCAATTGTGCAGTGGAAACAGACCCACTTCTGATTTTAATAAATTGGGGATTTAGTGTCAAACAAAACTAATTCCTTTGTAACAACGCCAAATACACATAAACCTAAGTACACAATGAAATAAAACCCCGCTTTGTATGAAGGAGCCTAAAGCAATCCCTAAACCTCCTTAACCTAATGATTTGATTTGATTGCTATAATGTTGTCTTCCTATTCCATTGTTTTCTGTTTATCAATGTAGCTTCCGTAATATTTCTATTTCACATCAGCTTAGTTTCTTAGTCGTGCTACCATAGTCACTATGATAACACTATACCAGAGCAGTATAGATAGATAGATACGACCTATAGTAAGCACGGCTAAGAAATTGGGAAAAACACAAGGAGTTGCTGTATTTCAGGGGGGGGGGGCACAATTTATTATTTATAAAGCAATTTTTTGTTCAAGATTCAATTCCTATTTCCCCATCTGAATGTTCGCAAATTCCATTTTATGAATACAAATCTTATTTTAAGGCTTGGTCTGAGTTTGAGAATGATCCTAACCAGCAGAATATGTTCAGATGAAAACCATGAAAATTTTCACACGAACTATTGATCAATTAACTTAATCATATTGTCACTAATAATATCATTGTAATTTCTCTCTTATTATCTTCATTTGACTATAGTTCAGTTATCAAACTATCTAAACTCAATATTCATAATTCACAGCCCTGTAATTTAAAAAATACCCGCGGCAAAACTTTATTTATTTGAACTTTTGAAGCGCGGGATTTCAACCACCAGCTTAATTAAACCATAAGAATGCCACACATTGTACAATGCATGATATCTGGTAAAATGCACTAAATTTAGACAATATTTTTCATACCTGCATAGTAGATTTGAAAACATCATTTATTAATGGGCTTTCTAGCTAAATGTCTAATGTATCAGTGTGAATGAATTTCCGTATGCAACTGTATGCTTTTTGAATTACTTATTCGGAATTCATTGTGTTGTAGCAGAAAAAACATATCAGGCGTTTCCCCCCTTTTAATTCTTCCAAATGTATGCTTTGTAAAAAGATGTGTGAATGATGCCTGAGCTAACCAGTGTTTATTGGTATTTAGCACAACTTCACTATTCAGAAATATTTAAGTTTGATTTTGAGATTTCAATTGCTTTCCTAGTTTTTTAAATTCTTTCAAAGGAATTAAGTTTTTGCGACAAACTTAAATTTTACTAATATTCTTGTCTTCGCACCCTTTTGGTGTACATCTTTGATATTTATTTTTTCTTACACGTTTGAAATAATTAAGGTCTACGAAATTGGGTTACAAAAGTAGGGATTAGAGTTTGTGGCAACGACTCAATTCCTTTATACATCAATTTAATATTTTCCTGCACTGACTTCAAGTGTAATATTCTGTATTTACATTGTACATTGTGCACTGTAACTTGTTAATTGTACAGTGTACACTGAGCACTGTAACTTGTTAATTGTACACTGTGCACTGTAATATTGTTAATTGTACACTGTAAATTGTGCGATGTATTGTACTCTGTACACGTAAATTGTTCACTGTACACTTAATCACAGTACTATATACTGTTGTCAGATTTTATTTTTCAACCATTTAAATATGTGATCATCTTAAATACTGATATTAATAGTTTGATAAAATTGGGGGTAGGGGATTAAGATTATGTTTCTATGTAATTTATTTTCAGTGCATTTTGTAAAATATGACGTCATTCCAGATTTATAGCCCAATTTATCAAAAATGCCGATTAAACACAGAAAGATAATGCTTCTGGGATGCAGGTTAGGATTAATAATTTAATTTCTCATTTAATTTTTTTTTGATGATTCTTGTTAAGGAGATTCAATCTTCTTTAAAATAAACATAAGCACATCAAGAAAATCTATTAGCTCAAAGAATTGTTCCTTTGGTTCAGAAAGATCCAGTATTTTCTGTCCCAAACAGTAAAAAACAAGTTTCTTTTAAATTTTATTAGATTGTGTGATTATATAATTAATGATTATTTTAAATATTTGATGAGAAGTCCAAATCTATACTGAATCAAAATTTTAAATTTTAAATTTTAGACTCGAGGTTTAACACTGTTATAGAAAGAATTGGACCAATCTGGTCCTCACGGAATTAATTGATTCTTGATTCTAGTATTTTGTTATAAAATACATCTACAAATAGGTGAACAGTTCCTCTCAATTTTTATACTTTTTTTCTTTGTATTTAAGATCGGTTGGTAAGTCCTCTTTGACGATACAATACGTGCAGGTAAATAATAATGCATTACTTCCCTGAAAATTAATTTTTGTCCCGGGTGTTCACTTTTTTCCCCGCCAAGATTCCTAGCTTTAATGTTCCCAGGGATGAACAGAACAACCGAGAAAATTTAAAAATTAGAGAATTTTTGGTTCTTAAAGGAACTGTAAAGGAAAAATGAAAGGGGGTATAGACTGAAAGCTAATCACTTAAGCTCTTGATCGCGACCCATGAAAGTTTTTTCTGATGTTCCTGTCTCGAGAAATTGATTTAAAATCACGTGACCAGAACTATCACCAATGGCAGAGCAGCAAACTGATCACGTGTCTCTGCCTGTATCACGTGACCACTTTACTGCACTGCCATTGGTGGAACTTCTGATCAAGGAATACGGAAGTATAAATAATATTTTAATAAATCTATTAAAAATAGAAATAACAAATATAAAATTAGAATTGGAGTAGACCTAAGTTACAATTAGCTTTCTCTGGGATATCATAGTTTTCAGATTGCTTGCATATTTGCTGAATTTGATCTATTTAAACCCTCTACTTTTATACAAAATTGTATATATTTTAATTTTCGTATAAATTTGACACAGTTGTATATCAATTTCTCCAGACAGGAACATCAGATAAAACTTTCATGGGTCGCGATCGAGAGCTAAAGTGATTAGCTTTCATTTTTCCTTTACAGTCCCTCTTGACATATGGCATAAAACTGCCGATATACCTCGACCTTAAATAAGACTAACTGCAACAAAGTAAATACTATCTTTATGTTAAGCAGTCAATTTTTTTTATTCCATCAAAAATTGCTGTTAGGACTTTTTATACCCTCTCGAAATTAATAACCCAACAAAAAGTATAAAATAGCAGGCACAAAAAGTTTACATATAGATAAAAATGGGTTCGAAAGTTAAGACATACTAGTATCTCTAATTTACCATGACATGGTTAAGGGTTTAGTTGTAAAATTTTGAGATTAAATTATAATCTTTACAACTCCCTCAAAGCCCCCTTCCCCCACATGGCAAGTGTTCAATGAAGTATTAATTACAGTCTCTTTAATGTTGTAGGGCCAGTTTGTTGACTCCTACGATCCTACAATAGAGAACACATACAACAAGACAGTCAAAATTAATAACCAGGCAGAGAAACCTTTTAAGAGTTTTTTTTTATAACTTTAATTATTTTTATAATAACTATGCACTACTATTTTTTAGCGATTTAAAAAACGAAACGTCCATTGAAATACTTATCTTAAAGTACACCACTGTTTGACGATTGACGGCCGACGGGTTTGGTCTAAAATTAACAATTTAAAAACGAAAAGTCCAAGGAAATGCTTATCTAAAAATTGTAAGACGGGTTGGTCTGGTTAGGATTTTGAACTCCAGGTGGTGGATACGGCAGGACAAGACGAGTACTCTCTCTTCCCTGCTCAGTATGCTGTAGATGTTCACGGGTAAATATTCTCACTAGCCTTATTCGTAAAAGTTTTGTCTGTCTCATGGCTTTTGCTTGGTTGAAAAGAAAAATTAAAAAAGTATCTTTCGAAATTATTCTTTGATTTATTGTTTGAACTAATTTGGGATTTGATTTTCTGTTTCATAGAATACTTGACTTTTAGAGGGCTTGACGCCTATCTTCTATTTCAATTGTGAACATTTTCTATTTGTATACATTGTACAATAAAAACATAAAAAACTTGGCGGATTTTTTAAAAAAACTTACGTGGATTTTAAAATTTAATTAATTTTGTGGGGGGCAAGTTTTTGAATATTTGATCATCTATAAACCTGGGGTCACGCAAGGTCACACACAAAATTTGGGCCCGATTGGTTCATCTGTTTTGAAGTTTGTTGGATACAAACGGACAGACTGACAATGAAAGTATTAGACTGTGTTCTTTCATCATTGAGTGATTTTTAAAGCTATTGATTGTCTCATTGAGTTATTGTGTGTTTGCTCGATCGGTTGATCAATTCTTTGATGTATTGCTTATTTGTATTAAATGTTTGATTAATTGATTGTTGTGTTTTAATGATTGATTGATTGATTAACCTTGTTTACCCGAAGGTATGTTTTGGTTTACTCTATCGATAGTTCTAAAAGTTTTGAAATTGTGAGGACTATTTACGAAAAGGTAAAATTTCAACGAAAACCAGGGGCGTACACAGCAATTTTTCCGGGAGGGTTTTAATGTTCAGAGGGAGGACTTAGCCCCCCCCCCCCCCCCTCCTCCTCCTGTTCACGCACAAGAGAAAAGCCAAATCTCATTTCATTATTTAAAGTTTAATAATAAGTTGATTCATTCATTACTCACTTAAAGGCGAATCAATTAATTTCTAGAAATACAAAACACTCACCCTTTGTAATATTTAAAATTTTTCGTTATTTTATGATAACAGAGTTGATTAGCTTTAGATTCTAAATTTTTCATAACAGATATTTTAAAATAAATAATTGAATAAATAAATAAATAAAAAACACCAGAGTTGGGTCACAGTTGAATTTTATCAAGAGTGACTTGAGGCCTGGGGTCTTTATAATTTTATGTCTGATCCCAAATGGGATCGTGGTTGAAAGTACATTTAGGGGCATGAAAATTCCCTTTCTATGTCTTTGTGAAGTTTTGCAAGTTTATTGAGTTCGTGTACTATATTTCAGAAATGTGTACTGCATTTGGGGTGTTAAAGGACGTAAATATCAGTAATCAATATAAGAGATAAATTATGATGTAATAAACACTTCCTTGCATAAGAAATTCTGCAGTATGGAACTTGACATCAATTATTTACAATAGCAACATGGTTAACTTCGGCTCCTAATCATCTATCAACATTTGGGATCGTATTGGATGGAATTATACGAACCCCTGCTCGAGGCCCCTTTAACTGAATAAGCACGTGTTTAGATAATGGATATGATTGGAAACCCCAATGTTCCAGTGGTAGTTGTAGGAAACAAATCAGATCTGCAGGAAAGATTTTATTGTTTTATAGCTTTTACCACCTCAGTTCTCTAAAATAAGCTAATCTACGGATCCGGATCAACGCATCAAAAAAAATCGACTAGATAATTTTTTTTCAAATTTTCTATTTCATTAATGAAATTTAAGTGTTCAAGATTATTTTATTTATTCAATATATTCCACTTGTAAAAGCCCCGAACTAAAAGTTTATAACTTTAACTTTTTGGTTTAAAAACACAATCTTATGTGTCTATACTACTGAGAATTAATCAAAACCTTTTTCAACGCTCTTAAAATGAATGGGTGAATGATTCCAAGACCTTTTAGAATCGTCCGTATTTTTTTCTTTGACAAATCACTTAAACATTTGAATCGTCTGTATTTTTTTTTTCTATGACAATTCACTTAAACATTTGTTGGGAATTCAGTAATGTCCTTAAAACACTCTAATGATAGTAAAACTATGAATGATATTTTCAATTAAAAAAAATCTTTAATTAAGCAGGCTGAGAGAGAAGTTTCACGAGAAGAGGAATAAACATGTTTTCAAATATAAATATTCTTTCATATTTTTAATAAAAAAAATTTGGTGTAATTGAGAAAATAATTGAAATCCATAAAATTTTGCGACGCTATTGCGTTGATTTTGTGCTTAAAGCGACTATAAGCCTAATCTCAAGTGACCCTCCATGCAAAGATGGCAATGGCCAATTTACCCTTTAAACCTTAATCTTATCCATAAAAATGTCAAAGAACCGTCGTTTTTTTTAGTTTCTCCATTGCTTACAAACGAGTCACTTTCACAGAGAACCCGAAAAGAAAATAAATAGTTTAAAGGAACAAAAGCATTGATTTCTAAATCAAACGAAAGCTTTTAAGGGTACCGTTGTAAACCAGGCAATGCCATTTTTGCATGGAAGGTCACTTAAAACTCCCATTTAGAGTTATATGATGAAACCCATATTTAAAGGGATATCATTTACTATTGTCATAGTTATTGTTTCTGTTTTGTTTTTGTTCTTGTTATTGATATTGTTTTTGTTATTATTAACAAAATGCATCCGATGAAATAGTGAATGGCACTTGATGCCACCTAAATGTAGCCATGGACAACGCCGACTGTGAAGCCTAGGGAGAAGACTTACAATAGGAAATCTGCCTGAGACATTAAAATTCTAAACATGAATATGTTGTGATTAGGGAGAAGGACTAGCTAAAGATGTTAACGCTGTGTTCCTCGAGACATCTGCTAAAGATAATCTCTGTGTTAATGATCTATTCCAGGTTAATTATACATTTATCAATCAATTGATCCATTTATCAATTAATTAATCAATTTATCAATTAATTAATCCATTTATCAATCAGTTAATCCATTTATTAATCAATTAGTCCATTAATCAACAAGTTAATACATTTATCAACCAGTTAATCCATTTATTAATCAGTTAATCCATTTATAAATCAATTAATCCATTTATCAATTAATTAATCCAGTTACCAATCTTTTAATCTATCTATCAATCAGTAAATCCATTTATCATTTTATTTGTTCATGTACCAATCAACTAATCCATTTATCAATCAATTAATTCACTTATCAATTAGGTAAGCCAGTTATCAATCAAGCAATCCATTAATTAATCAATTAATCCATTTATCAATCAATTAATACAATTATTAATCATCTAATCTATTTAGCAATTAACTAATCTATTTATCAAAAAATTAATCCATTTATTAATCAATTAACCCATTTATTAATCAGTTAATCGATTTATCAATCAATTAATACATTTATTAATCAATCAATTAATAAATTCTTCCATTTATTAATTAATCAATCCATTTAATAATCTATTAATCCATTTATAAATCAGGAAATCCATTTATAAATCAGGAAATCCATTTATAAATTTATTTGTTCATTTATCAATCAACTATTCCATTTATCTTTTAAGTTTTAATTAAGCCACTTCTCAATCAGATAATTCGAGTTATCAATCAATCAATCAATCAATTAATTAATTCATTAATCCATTTTTGAATTAATCCATTTTATGAATCAATTAATACAATTATTAATCGACTAATCCATTTAGTAATCAATTAATGCATTAATCAATCAATTAATCCATTTATCAATTGATTTATTCATGTATTAATCAATTAATGCATTTATCAATTAAGTACTACAATTATCAACTATTCCATTAATCAATTCGGCATATCAAGAAAAGACAACAAAAGATCGAGATCTTCATATCCACCAAAAAAAAGTTCCCAGCTCTGTTTTCAGTTTTTAATTTTTGATCCTGTTTGTTTAGAAGATTGTAGTTCAGATTGAGAGATCAGCAGGAGATGGAGTTGATGGGGGTGCAGACAAAAAATGTATCATTTCTTAAACAAAGACAATGGGATGAACAAATCTATTAAATGGATTGAATCATTAAGCGGGCTGGATATTGCTCCGAGACCAGTTTATCTAATGGGTCATCTCTGCTTTCACCAAATCACTCATTCTAAACATTAATAGTTAACATTACTTTATGTTCCGATAGTGCAAATGTTTACCTATATCGTTTGGATTCCATATACTCAATGGATATTGCTAAACCACTAGTTTAAGACCTCTAAATGAGTAATATTCAAAATTTAAAAAACTTGTCTTATATCTGCCTAACCGACCTCTATTGACATTAAAGTGCACTTCTAGCATATAAATGATGCACACTTGAAAAGGAAAAATCACATTTTTTAGTTATCGGTAAATATTTGTATTCACCAAAGCATATAATTTCAACCAAACTTAATTTGTATTTGGATAGATCTAAGCTCAATTTTTGTTCTTGAGTCCAAACTATTTTCAAGAAGTTCTGAAATGTTCCAAATTTTAGATTATTATAGATTTTATTTTTTGTAAAAAGCAATTATTTCATATTTGATTAAAAACAGCATTATTTATGAGCACATTTAGAATAACACCATATCCAACAAAAGAACTGTTGGGTTTAAGAATTTAGTAATTTCCTGACGAAATTATGATTAGGTTTAATAATTTCTTGACGAAATTCTTAGCTAAAAGTACAAAAATATGTTAACTTTTACTTTGCAGAGGTAAATATTATCGCCTCCCCCAACTTAAAAACTAGTTTTAAAGGGACTGTAAGCGCAATTTCTGGTGACCCTTCATGTAATGATGGCAATGTGAAAGATAGTGTCTTCTTAGGTTCTTAAGTGTTTAAATCTGATTTATCACATTGTAGAAATGGGCAAGTTAAGTAACCAGTGGCCGAATTTAAAGAATTTAAGCGGCGGTTTAAATTTAAGCCGCAGTTTAAATATGGTTGGTTCCACTTAAAATTGTATCAAATGTTTCAAGATTTAAGCCGGCGCTTAATTTAAACCGGGTTTTGGCGGATTTAAACTGCGGCTCAAATTCTTTAAATTCCATCTCTAGATTTGAAAATAATCAGTTTTCACAATATTAAAACATAGATATCTAATTCATACATGGTCAATGATCATGCAAAGGGTACCGTTGTAAATCGAGCATTGCCATTTTTGCATAAAGTGGCACTTGAAATTGCATTCTAAGTCCCTTAAAGACAACAAAATGCAGATAATACTATATTGTGTTCTCAATATAACGATTAAAAATTTTGTTATGAAGGATTATTTGAAGAAAAAAAAATAAATCCCAATTTTTTTTCAGCGTAATGAATGATTAAAGGAATATATTTTTAGATCATATTTTGAAACAATTGTTTTGCTATTTTTCTTAAATTAAATAATCTAAGAACTAGGTCTGAATTATGATTGCCTGTATATTTTTCTTAATCGCCGATATTAAAAAATACCAAAACTATTATTAGAAAAAAAAAATTTTAGTAGTTGAAGTTATTTTTTGTTATTTTTCCTCTGTTGTGTACAATACAATATGGACGCACATGTAATTCATCATTTTGTTAACTGTACTTCAAAACATGAAAGCACCATAAAATTAGTAGTTAATGGTTCAGTATTAGTTCATTGTAAATAAGTTATTACTGGAAGTGTTCAAGTATGCTCCTTATGTAAAATATTTTTTCTCCTTGTTTCAGAATAAAAATGGCACAGCAGGGTTATGTTGACAACTCTAGTTTTCAGGAAACAGAAAAAATAACAAATTTTTTCATTTCATGCTTAACCCGCCTTTTTTAATTATCTTTAAAATCGCAAAAATATCTCCTAATTATAGAAACATTCAAGATTAAAGCACTTTTTAATTTGGATTCTTCCCGTATTGAAAATATACTCATGATCTTTGGTGTTAAGATCAAAAGGAAGTATATTTTACATCAGATTTTTTTGCTTTTGACTGCATTTACCTAACTTTATTTTAAAGTAGTTAACAGTTAAACTATTCTTCAGATGACTTAAATTTCTATCTATGGCCGTAGTTTTGAGCTACCAGTTTGCAGTCCAAAACTCATTATATTTATTATTTTTTTCTTGAGGACTTCGGATTCGATGAGAACAGCTCTAGAATCAAACATCCTGTTGTCACATTTTTCCATCTTATCTTCAAATCTCTGGCACTAATCGGTAATAAATTTTAAAAAATTGTTTTGGTGTGATACAATCGAATACCAGTGACTTCTGTGGATTTCAAGGTTTTTTAGGCCCCAATGGATGCTGAGCCCCCCTCCCCCCTTGCAAAGAAATAAAATGAAAGCCCAACCCTGGAAAAATTCCTAAATACGCCTCTGATGTCGAGTTACACTAAAGAGAGGGATTATATATTTAAAATGATTGAATTGTTGATTAATCGGATGATTTATTGATGAATAATGAATAAACCAGGTGAAATGATTGGTAACTTTTTCCAGTGTTTCTTCTCTGCAGGCTGTTCAATAATTTTTTTATTGGGAACTTCGTGTTTATTACCCTTCTCCTCTCCCTGTTTTTGAATGGTTGATTAATTGATTGTCTGGTTTATTGGCTGATTCATGGATACATATTTATAGTGTATCTACTTTGCAGCCTGTTCAACGATAATGTTATCGGGAACTTCGTGTTCGTTACCCGTCTACTGTCCTTTTACATCTGAATGGATTGATTGGTTGATTGATTAAGTAAATGATTGAGTGATTGATTGATCGATTTATTTATTGAGTAAGTGATAGATTGATTGATTGATTGATTGATTGATTGGCTGATTGTTACATATTTCTAGTATACCTGCTCTGCAGCCTGTTCAACGATAGTTTTATCGGAAACTTCGTGTTCGTGACCCTTCTCCTCTCCTTAGACTTCTGGACCACCAAGAACATAACCGGAAGGATCATGGTCGGACTCAGGTAACCCGACCTTTGAAGTTGAAGTACCAAGCTGACCGGGCAACTAGAGCTGACCCGGTACGCTAACATCCAGGGTTCAATAATAGAACATGCTCTAGGCGGTTTACAAACAGACGACCCCAGGCGTGATTGTACACGTATCGTGAGGGGAAGTACTGATGGGTGTGGCTTCATACGGGGAATAAAATCCCCCAGAAGTTTTGTTTAATAATAATAAAAGTGTTTTAATGACGAGATATATTTTCGATATTTCCAAGATGGTGGAATTACATCAATGATGATGGTGTATCTGTCTGGAAGTTTGAAGCTAGAAATGGAGAATCCGCCAAGAATCTGTCAACCACAGAAATCAGGTTTCAGTTGTTATTTTGGCAATAGTTCTGAGTTGGGAACTTTTGTCTTGTTCACTCATAATTCTAATCACTTGTTCATGATATCCACTAAAGGCACTTTTAATTTGAGGATCAATGCTTAATCTCTTCATTTCAGCTATTCCTTTTGGGATCAATTGCCCTCCGGGATATCGAAAGAGATTAATGTAATCTGCAGATTAACAAAAGATCGATATCGAGCATTGATCTTGATATCCACAGTACAAGAGTTCCCAACACAGGCTTAGTAGTTTACTTTAATGTGCTGCAGTTGCTTGATGCACTTTGATTCTCGTTCCGAATGTTGTTTCGCAGATTTTTTACTTTAAATTGGTTTATTTTCAACAGAAAATAAATATTGATTTCAGAATATTCTGGACTGGTTTGATTGTTGCTCCTGGTCTCTGGGTTCTATTCTTTCTAACAGCTCTCTTCAGTTTCAAGTTCTCCTGGCTAATCCTGGTTGTTATAGGTATACTTACACTACACACAGATACAAGTTATTGACAGGTTGAACTAGGAGTTACATGCAGGAATATATATTTGTAACAATCTCTCACTACCCCTCATAATTAATGGGCAATAATAAAACAGGAATTTAAACGGCGTTTTTTATTATTAAATCATGCAACTCAAATTAGATTTTTTTGTCTTTAAACAAACTGTAAGTGTAATTTCAATTTACCTTTCATTTAGAGAGGAGCAACGTTACTATTGTGAATCGGACATTGCGCTCTTTACAGTCCCTTTAAATCATATCGTCCAATAAATGAAATATACACTTGGAATTCCTCATATGTTGTGGACCACTGTAGCCGCGCTCAGACTTTAATTAATATCAACTTGATCAAATATTTTTCAGGTTTGACCTTGAGTACCTCTAATCTTCTTGGGTATCTAAGGTATACATATATACCTTATGGAAAGATAGGGAAAACATATATATATACCCCCTGTAAATATATATTTCCCCCTATGTCAGGTGTAAGATTGGGAAACCACATATATACCCCCCTGCAAGTATATATTTCCCCCTATGTCGGGTGTAAGATATGGGGAAATCATATATACCCCCTGCAAGTATATATATTTCCCCCTATGTCAAGTGTAAGATGGGGAAATCATATATATACCCCCCTGCAAGTATATATTTCCCCCTATGTCAGGTGTAAGATGGTGAAACCACATATATCTCTGTAAACATATATTTCACCCTATGTCAGGTGTAAGTTGGGGAAACCACATATATCTCTATAAATGTATATTTCCCTCTATGTTAGGTGTCAGATGGGGAAATCATATATACCCCCTTGTTAATATATATTTCCTCCAATGTTAGGTGTAAGATGGGGAAATCTGATGATTCTGTGACCAATGTAATGAGTGGAATGGCAAACCAGTACATGCAGGTCAATCTTATTTTTTAATGATGCAACAATGAAGATTATAAATAAAGAATAAAGGTTATAAATAAAGAATAAAGGTTATAAATAAAGAATAAAGGTTATAAATAAAGAAAAAAGATTATAAATAAAGAATAAAGATTATAAATAAGGAGTAAAGATTATAAATAAAGAAAAAAGATTCTAAATTTACAATAAAGATTATAAATTAAGAACAAAGATTGTAAATTTATAATAAAGATTGTAAATTAAGAACAAAGATTGTAAATTTACAATAAAGATTATAAATTAAGAACAAAGATTGTAAATTTACAATAAAGATTATAAATCAAGAATAAAGGTTATAAATTAGGAATAAAGATTTTAAATAAATGATAAAGATTATAAATTAAATAAAGATCATTAATAAAGTTGTAAAAACTATCAGGACAGAAGGTTGATCTATTAAGTTATGAAAAAATGTCAATGAAAGGTCGAAAAAATCACCCAAAATGTTAGATAAACTACAATTCTTGTTTTTTAAGTTTTCACGAACAAAAAAGCATAACGATTTTAATGTTAATAAGCAATATGACAGATTTGTGGTCAATAGAGTCCTTTTTTCAAATAAAAGAAATTGAGTCTTGGCCACAAATTCTGATTTTCTGATCCCTATAACTTTGTAACCAGATATTGTAGACCTTAGATATTTCAAACTATAAATTCTGGTAGCTCAAATAATCTAAGATTGAAATATCAAAGGTTTACACCTTCAGGTTTCACAGATATAAGGATTAGAAAAATTATGTTTTTGGCAATGGCTCAATTTCTTTTATGTTCAACATTTTTGTTTTGTGTTTAGAAACGGATGATGCAGAACTTGATGGGCGTATTTAAACCCACCCCTCCACCTACTGCACAGACAAATCTGACAGTTTAGAAAATATTTAGAAACATCCATGGAACATTCCCCTATCCTACCAACAATAATCAACCTGGTTGCTTAAACATATGTAGCTACAAATACTAAAATATTACTTTATCATTGACCTCCTCTGACCCCACTTCCTTCAAAAGAAATCCCCCCTACCCTTCCTTCAAAAGAACTTAAAAAAATTAGGGAGACGACTGTTAGACTTAAAAACTTTTTATTCAAATTGTCCATTAAACATGGAAATTGTGCAGTGTAAACTGAACACAGATCCATTTTCTGATTGTTAAAATGTCGTTTTTTTATTCCATAGTTTTATAGGTCTCACTGTATATTTCTGTAGTTTGTTGCTAAAGTGTTAATAGTGTCCTTATCCCTGTTTTTATTTTGAAATGCTATCTGTGATTTTTAAATTTATACTTGGTTTGATGAAGATATATATTATTCTGAGATAAGGGAAATGGATTATATATAGATATATAGAGATTTCTAGCATAATAATATTGCCCCCTCCCCACCCCCTCCTTCTTCTCTCAGGAAAATATAAATCTTCTTTTTTGTTTTTGTTGTGATCTTATATTTATTTAACGATTTTATTTTTGAGTTTCCCCCAGCATAATCAATATTTGTGTATTAAAGAAATTTTAAAGTGCCTCCCTCACATGACTTGTTTCTAATTTACAAATTTTGAATCCAAAAAAAAATTGTGAAATATCCACGGTGTCATTTTCTTCTTTTGTTTTTGGAATCAATGTCATAAGAACCAACTGAAATGGACTTTTATTTACTGATGTTATTTTTATCATCATTTGTGTAATTTGCACATTTTTGTAAACTATTAATGGAAGTGTCTACGTATTTTTTAAATCACCCTCTAAAGAGTTACCGGAAATAATTAAGACTTGCCGGTCACTCCCCCCCCCTTCTAAACATCTTGTATAAAAAATGCAGATCAAATTCCCCCTCTCTTTCTCTAAAATAGCACGTTAACTTGTAGGTAAATGCCTAAAAGATCATTTTTTTTTATTTATGAAAAAAGGTTTTCATTTTTTGATTTTAGATTCTGCGTGTGTAGAAGTTGAAAATTATATATTTACATTAATTCTAACAAATACTAAGGAATAGTAGTAAACACGATTAATGGAGTTCAAGCTTTTTAACTTTAAGTGACTGTACGCGTAATTTTACGTGGACCTCCATGCTAAAAATACACTATTTACAACAGTACATTTGAAATATGATCAATAATGTGGAACAAATTGTTGTTTTTTTCTGGGTTTGGAAGTGTTTAATTCTTATGATTCCTATTTGTTTTCCTGCAGTAGATATCAAAATGTTCTTGTAAACAAATAAATATTTTGATTAATTCTTATACAAATAATTCTAAGTATTTAAATAGACAGAGATAATTCTGCCGTTGAGTATTCTCTGTGATAATTAATGATCTTCGGTCGTTTATTTTCTTAAAATTTGTTCTTTTAGAAAAACAAAAATTCTTAGGTCGAAGTTAAAAGATGTATACAGTATACCGTATACAGTATACAGTATACAGCTAGACTAAGGAGGCGAAGTTAAGATGTATACAGTATACAGCTAGGCTAAGGAGACGAAGTAATAATAGTTTTGAAATTCTCGTCAAAAAGAAAATGCCGCAAAGGATTTCGAATTTTAACTATCAAATATAATCCTTAAAATCCAGGACACTTGGAGATTATGAATTTTTATAATTCAATTCCGCTGTTGATTGGTATGAATGTATAAAGGGTACCACGATACAAATGATACTCCTACTTGACTAAAGGAAGCAATCCCTTAACTCATGTTTACAACCTTACCAGGATATTCTGTTTGGATTTATTAAAAAATCCGAAAGTACAATTGTAAACAGAACAGATAAATTTCAACTCAAACAATTAGAATGGTTCTCAAATGAAATCAACAAAGGTATATTTTTAAAAAATAAATTTTCATTTTTCATTATTTTTTAAAAATATTTTGCAGGCTGTGGTGTTGGGTTTAATCCTTCCGGTAGCTTGGGTATTATTATATCAGAGAATAATAATATATACACTCTCAATACTAGTTCCATTGTTCAAGATGCACTTTATTCCAAAGGTAGTACTAGGCATTGATGGAATATATTTTGCAGGGTTGAATATTTTCTTTAAAAAGTATTCCCTTCCTCCCCTCTTTTGAAATCATTTTTTCGCTTAAATTTCGTTGAAATGGGGAAAATAAATATAAATTTAAACATTAAACCGCAGAATTCAGATTTATAAACTTTAAAACATCAGGATTTCGGAGACATAACTAAACTATTTTTTTGAACATTGGAATTCTTTTATGAAAACTTTTATAACCGGGTTTTCTGAATAAGTTTTTGAAGGAAAGTTTTTAACGTTTTGGCCCTCAGAAACATATTTTATCAGTTAGAAGGGCCTAGTTGTATTCCTAACTTCAACTAATTAAGTTTTAGAATTTTTTTTTCTAAAAAGTTTATAATTCCCTTTGTTTTATAAGAAGTTGGAGTTCCTAAACCTGGTTCTTCTCTCTCTTCTAGTCCTGTTAAACAAGTATATATTGGATCCATGGTAAGTATATATATAATCTCACCCCCACCCCCCTCTATTCTATGCTATTCTTTTCTATTTTTTTGTCCCGGTATACAAGTATATATTGGTTCCCCCCCCCCCCTCTCTATTCTATTCTGGGTGGGCATAAAAAGACTCAGCCCAATAAAAAAAAAAACAATAAACGCCACTTTTAAAAAGCCACCTTGTAAGTGAGATTTTTTGGGTTTAAATTTTTTTAGACTTTTTCTTATTTTTGCCCTTTTTCACTCTTAAAATGATAAATTCGTCAAAAAATAAAGTTACTATCAACTGTATTGATTTTTAGGGAGTTTACATCACTAAAACTGCCACATTTATTCTTTTCTCAAGAGTTTTCAACATATCTTGCGATAGAATAAGGATTTAAAATCCCTTTATCATTCTCATGTGTGCGTGATCTAAAGTTTTTCTGTATTTAACAGTGGTATTCCTTCTTGAGCATATAAATATCAACCAATTAATCTGAGGAGCCCCCCCCCCCCCTCAATCAGAAACTTAAATCCAAGTGAGAAAATAGAAGTAGTCTGAAATTCATATAGCTACGATATCAAAAATTTGCAGTATTCCCCCTATGAAGAAGGGAGGTGATATTATTCTATTGAAGAGTAATTATTATGATTTTAGTCTATTATCACAACAATATTATTATTATTCATTAATATAAAGTTCACCTATTGCTTAAATAGTCATATTATGAATTAGTATGAATTTTAGTAGGTTTCAACTATTTTCAAATTGAAAAACCCTAAAAAGCCAAAAAAGAAGAATAAAATAAAAAAAATTAACTTATTTCACATTATTGTTTATTAAGAAAGTTATTTTGACTGTTTTCTTTCCCTAAGTTCTATTGAGAAGCTATTTACATCAAAACAAAAAAATGGAGGTTTAAGATGTGGAAATTTAAATTTAACTATAAATAAATGTACTACTGAAATCTTCGAATAACGAATAGCCAATAATTATTTTTGATACTGGGAAAGTAAAGGATATAAATGCCTGTAAAGATCAAGAAAAGCTCAAGTATGAAAATCTTTAGTCTTCTCGAAACTAAAATTCGAAAAAAACTCCTCTGCAAGCTTGAGGATGAGTACAAATAGGGATTGACAATAGCCAGATTTGACTTTAAAATGGTTTTACAACAATATGTGAAGGTTCCAAAATTTTAAAACTTTATTCTGTAGAAGTTTGCAAATGTGTTACCTAGAAGAAAATATAAGGCAAAAACCATTGTTTTAAAACGATAGTTTTTGGGTTTTTTAAAACGATAGTTTTTGGTTCGTTTTTGTCTTATATTTTCACATAGGATAACAAATTTGCATGTTGGAAAAATTCAAACTTCTACACAATACATTTTTAAATCGTTGGAAACCTTGTAAAAGTTTAAAAATATATTTTTCTTCAGTTTCTGTAAGCTAATCTAGATATTGCCCATCGCTTAGTACAAACAGCTTCTCCTTAACCTGTGCCCCTCCCTTCACTACGGGCATGGATAGTGATAATAATGATAATGCTACTGTTGATGATGATGATGATTATGATGATAATGACAAAAATGAAAATGACAATAATAATAATGACGATAATGATACTGTTGATGATAATGATAATGATATTATAGGCTGTATCCCCTGGTTCTCCTGTATGTCAGGTATCCTGGTTAAACCATGAACATGACCTTCTCCTAGCTGTATCAGGATATGGAGGAAAATTAACAGTAGTCAATCTAACCTCAGGGGTAGAGGTTAGTGCAGGGATATATATTTCAAATTGAGATTTCTTTGTTAAATCTTTAAAACTGATGATCTGTGGCAAATGCTCGCATGGAACGCAATTTCCTCCTCTAAAAGCAAAGAAGTTTAAGTTTATATAATTATTTTATCTTTAAATTATATAAAGGGTATTGTTGTGAATTGTTTTTATTTTAAGGTCGTCCAAAATTTCATTTAAAATCCCTTTAAATCTTGAATTATGTCTGTTTAGGTTGGGATTCTGAGAATAGAAGAAAATACTAAAATTGAATCCCTTCAAGTTTATAAAGATGATCCATTGGATTGTATTTATCTCATCATTAAAACAAAGTAAGTATCTCTTCATATTCAAATAATTAAGTATTTAAAGATGATCAATGGGATTGTATATATCTCATCATTAAAACAAAGCAAGTATCTATATATTCAAATATTCAAGTTTATAAAGATATACTATTAGATTAAAGTATGTATCTCATTATTAAAACAAAGCAAGTATCTCTCTATATTTAAATATTCAAGTTTATAAAGATATTTGATTAGAATAATGTATATATCTCATTATTAAAACAAAGCAATTATCTCTATATTCAAATATTCAAGTTTATAAAGATATTCCATTGGACTAATCTCATTATTAAAACAAAGCAAGTATCTCTCTATATTCAAATATTCAAGTTTATTAAGATCATCATTGAAACAAAGCAAGTATCTCTATATTCAAATATTCAAGTTTATAAAGATATTTGATTAGATGTATATTAGATGTATATATCTCATTATGTAAACCAAGCAAGCTCCTTTAAAATTTGAAGAAGACAAAATATTACTTTTTGAAAATATCATTGTTTTAAAGATATGTTGGAAAAATAATAGAATTTTTAAATGTTATTTTCATTAAAATATGTTCTGTTTATTAATACAAAAAATATTAAAATTATTAAAATGTATTATTTTTAAAGTTTTTTCTTTGAAACAATAATTTTTATTTATGTATTTTTGTTTTCCGAAAACCTGAACAGTTTCAATCTCATTTAAATTGATTTGATTTACAAGAAAAGCTGTATCATGAGTAGCATGAAGAACAAATTCAATTTAATTTCCTGCAGGGTATGACCACCACAGGATATCGAAGAGCAATTGAATTAATCGTTAGGTCTGTATAAGATGGAGATCAATGCTTGATTCCTAGGCTAATAACACAAAAGTTCTGATTTAAATGATCTTCTGTTCAGGGTAAAGTTCTACAGACTGCTAGTGGATCAGAAGAGTATAGGGAAGACATCATGTAAAAAAATATAAAAATGTACAAATATAAATCATGAAAGAAATAACTATTTACCCACGAAGAATGAGATAATAAAGACGACCTGAAACTCCTAAGGTTAAATTCAGTCTTTTTCTTTAAATGAGGTCTTTTAATGGATTATTTAACTGTTTGTCAAATAAAGAAAGTAGTTTTCTGTACAGTCGTCTCTGAAGTCTCATCTTTTGTGGGTAACCCTGGATAATTGGAAAAGTTTTGAACTGTACGACAACTTAATCTACAGGATCTGTGATGTTGAAACTTTTGCATTGTTGTTCCTTTTAGAAATAACTAATTCTTGTCTTTTTTGTCTCAAATTACGGTTCAGTCGTTTTTCATGAATTTTAAAAACTTAATACGGTGAGAACCAGAAAACTTAAAAAAAGACGACATTATAGCAATATTGTTATGCACTAGATGTTATTACAATTCAAATAGTGTTATTAGTAACTTAATAATTTACTAATCAAGTTAATAGGATCCGCACAATACACCGCACAAATGCTGTGTTACATATTCAATGGACTATTAGAAGTTACAACTTGAGTCTATAAGTCGGTCTTCCTATTCCAGAGTTTTCTGGTTCTCACTGTAACTAGATTAAAATATAGATGTTGTTGATAAGCGCCATTTCAGGCAAAACGTCCGCCCTCTGAAGTTGAATTACACAAGGCTTGTAAGTCTCTCCCCGCCCAATTTTAGAAACAATTTTTTAACTCCTGCTTTTCAATTTGCCATTTTTCATCCTTCTCTGCCATGTTTCTTCCTTCTCGGCCATTTTTCATCCTTCTCTGCCATTTTTCATCCTTCTCGGCCATTTTTCATCCTTCTCTGCCATTTTTCATCCTTCTTTACCATTTTTCATCCTTCTCTACCATTTTTCATCCTTCTCTACCATTTTTCCTCCTTCTCTGCCATTTTTCTTCCTTTTCGGCCATTTTTCATCCTTCTCTGCCATTTTTCATCCTTCTCTGCCATTTTTCATCCTTCTCTGCCATTTGTCATCCTTCTCTGCCATTTTTCATCCTTCTCTACCATTTTTCCTCCTTCTCTGCCATTTTTCTTCCTTTTCGGCCATTTTTCATCCTTCTCTGCCATTTTTCATCCTTTTCCGCCATTTTTCATCCTTCTCTACCATTTTTCATCCTTCTCTACCATTTTTCATCCTTCTCTGCCATTTTTCATTCTTCTCTACCATTTTTCATCCTTCTCTGCCATTTTTCATCCTTCTCTACTATTTTTCATCCTTATCTGCCGTTTTTCATCATTCTCTGCCATAAGCTACAATTTTAGCGGATTTTTCCATACTAAAAAGTGTATTAACAAACTGGTAAAAATTTAAAATTATTTTGAAGGAAAAAGATTTAGCCTATAAATAATGATGTAAATATGAGTGCAGGATACAGTTGGACGGGTTCAACTAGTTGTGATCCTCCCTCCACACCCACCCAGGAGAATCCTCTACCAGATATAGTATGATAAATCTTAGTTTTAATATTTATTTCAAAACAAAGGAATTAAGCCTTTGTCAAAAACTCTAATTTGCTTTACCTTATATTTGTGCAACCTGGATATGTAAACCTTTGTTATTTGATCCAACAGAATTCAAAGTTCACATTTTACATTGCTATTTTTTTCGTTTTTTTCAAAGAGGATTTATATTTTTCCTTCTCGTACATAAAAAATATCTAAAGAAGCAACCCGGGAATTTTGATAAATACGTTTATGATTTATTTGTCTAGATCGTCATAGACCTAACTCCCACCCCTGGATTTACACTCAGCTCTAAACTGGGTTTATAATTTATTTCTCTAGATCGTCATAGACCTAACTCTCACCCCTGGAGTTACACTCAGCTCTAACCTTGGTTTATTAATTGAAACTCATAGGGCAGGAAGATCAAGCCTGAAATCTCATATTGAAGGATTGACGGTGATCATTATTATTATTATATTTAGATTGAGAGTCGGGGACGATTATCAGGCCTGAAGCAGATGTCAGTTGAGAAGATAACTAACCTAAGGAATAGGTTAGCTGAGGGAAGAAAACTACTCAGGTTAGCTTAGTAGAGTAGATGTCAGTAACTAGACTTAGGAACAGGTTAGCTAAGGGAAGAAAACTATTCAGGTTAGCTTCGTAGAGTAGATGTCAGTAATAAACTAATGAATAGGTTAGCTAAGAGAAGAAAACTACTCAGGTTAGTTTAGTAGAGGAGATGTCAGTAACTAACATAAGGAACAGGTTAGCTGAGAAATTGATTTACGATTTTAAATTTTTTCTTCTTGACTTAAATTTTTTTAATGGCCCCATGAAACCTAAAACATGCTTTTATGTTTTAAACAAATTATATGCCCTGTATGCCCTGCATTAGTTACTTCTCCTGATGTTCAAAAATAATCCTTTTAATTTATTTTAGATCAAAATCTGAATGCGAGGATATTTTTGGTTCGAGTAGTAGACCTATTTGTATAACACCGCAGGTAAAATAAGCTGAGGTCGTCTTTGAATCTTCATGACCGAAACAATCTCAAGAACTGACGCGGGTCAACCGAGACCAAAATATATATTCAATAAAATGTGGAACTAACATCTACTTTAATGTATTGGTCCATCATCATCACCTTATTTTAAATAAAGATTCATTGTTTGTGGGTTAACCCTGTAACATTTAAGGTTGTTAAAGAAGTCTAAAAGTTGGGTTCCAAGCTATTAATATAAATAAAAGAATATCTATTTAGATTGGACCCTGCAGCCATCTTGTATTCGACCAGGGAGGGGGAGGTGGTGAAGGGGAAGGAGGGGGTGGGCGAGGATGTAAAATTACCGCATTCTACTCGACTCTTTCACAATCTGTCATATTTGACGCACAGGAACTGAACTTCATCAATTTTATGGATTTAACAAAGTATTCTCTTGTTCACCAGGGGTGGGAACTCTTGCGTTGTGCATATCATGGTCTGTGCTTGATCTTGATATTCTGTTAATCTGCAGATTAATTTAATCTCCCGCATGGTAAATGTACCAAGTCAGGGGTTAAAGAAGCTTTGTTCTAGGGTTAAAAGAAGCTTAGGAAAGGGTAAGAATAGCTGAAACAAAGAGATTAAGCACTGATCGTTAAAATAAAAGTGCCCACGGTGGATATCAAGATCAAGTAATCGGAATTATGAGTATTCTAAAAAAGTTCCCAGCTCGGGGCATATGGTTTTGATAGGTTTAATGTTAATAGAACAAAAAATCAAATAATTTTTAAAATTTATATAAAAACATTGACATTTTGATGGGCCTTGGTCTAGTTGAATCCCGGACCTAATTCTACCAAATCCTTCCCATTTCTGATGCCTTCTAGTCCTGTGTGTTCCTCAACAAATTCTGGCTACGTGGAGATATTTGTTCCTGAACCATCTTCAGTCTCCTCGTCATATAATGTGACTCACTTCAACGTGTCAGGTAAGTTTTAAAATTTTGTAAATTTTTATTATTTTTGTTTTTTTTTATTTAGTAAAACATACCCTCCCCCAAATGTGATGTATATTTGAATCACATCCAATATTTTCATTTATACGAAAAGAACTAAATTTTGAGTAAGAATTATGATATGAACTAAACCCCCAAAGTCCAGCGCAAAGATTGACCCATTTTGTTAGAAAATCAAAAATAATATTTAGGAAATCTCTGTCTGTTCTGCACTGATGATGGTAGAAATCAGACGATCATTTTGTCTTCCTTTAGCTCAGAAGATACTTTGCTTAATTCTCCTGTTCAATCAATTACCCTAGGAATCAAACTAATGAAACAGTTTAGATTTTAACTAATTCATTTTCTTATTCCTCCTGTTTAAACAGTTTAATCTTCTAAATAATTCATTCTTAATTCTCCTGTTGAAACAGTTTAATCTTCTAAATAATTCATTCTTAATCTTCCTGTTTAAACAGTTTAATCTTCTAAATAATTCATTCTTAATTCTCCTGTTGAAACAGTTTAATCTTCTAAATGATTCATTCTTAATCCTCCTGTTTAAACAGTTTAATCTTCTAAATAATTCATTCTTAATTCTCCTGTTGAAACAGTTTAATCTTCTAAATAATTCATTCTTAATCCTCCTGTTTAAACAGTTTAATCTTCTAAATAATTCATTCTTAATTCTCCTGTTGAAACAGTTTAATCTTCTAAATAATTCATTCTTAATTCTCCTGTTGAAACAGTTTAATCTTCTAAATAATTCATTCTTAATTCTTCTGTTGAAACAGTTTAATCTTCTAAATAATTTTACCAAATTAATATTCTTAATTCTCCTGTTTAAACAGTTTAGATTTTACCTATTTAATATTCTTAATTCTCCTGTTTTAGACAGTCTAGATTTTACCTGATTAATATTCTTAATTCTCCTGTTTAAACATTTAATCTTTTAAATAATTCATTTCTCAATTCTCCTGTTTAAACAGTCTAGATTTTACCTAATTAGTATTCTTAATTCTCCTGTTTAAACAGTTTGATCTTTAAAGTAATTCATTTCTCAATTCTCCTGTTTAAACAGTTTAGATTTTACCTAATTAATATTCTTAATTCTCCTGTTTTAACAGTCTAGATTTTACCTAATTATTATTCTTAATTCTCCTGTTTAAACAGTTTAATCTTTTAAATAATTCATTTCTCAATTCGCCTGTTTTAACAGTCTAGATTTTACCTAATTAGTATTCTTAATTCTCCTGTTTAAACATTTAATCTTTTAAATAATTCATTTCTCAATTCGCCTGTTTAAACAGTCTAGATTTTACCTAATTAGTATTCTTAATTCTCCTGTTTAAACAGTCTAGATTTTAACTAAATATTATTCTTATTTCTCCTCTTAAAACGTCTAGACACCTGAAATTTATTTTCCAAGAAATTTTAAATTCAAAAGCAAATCAGTGAATTTTTTCCTTTTTTTTTTAAAAAAAAGTTTGTTCTGCTAGATGAGGGGGAGAAAATATTAGATGTTCACAAAATAAATACTTCTAGGAAATAAATTTATAATTTAAAAGAATATTTTAAATATAAAAAAGAGATGTTTTTGTCTTCAAGACATAGTCGGGTTGTTACGAATGAATCTTGAAATTTTGCCAGTGGTTGTAATCTGGCAGCTCATTCATCATTCCATTTGCGCCCATCTATCTTGTTCACAAGTCAGCTTTTAGATGTTACTTTAATTCTTCAATAATTTTTTCTTCAAACGCAATGAAAAAATTGAAGATTTTTTGTATTTACCTGTTTCCTTGGTGGATTTATAAAATTTTCTAAATTATAGTATTCATTTATAGGCGACAAACGTCAACAACTAGTCCTTGCAGTTCTCAACCTGGATTTAGTCCGACCTCTAAATCTAGTTCCCAGGCCTCCCCGACCTCTAAATCTAGTGTCCAGGCCTACCCAACCTCTAAATCTAGTCCGCATACCTCCACTGCTAAAAAGAACCCATTCCGTAATATTGTGTGCGTAACTACAGACGAGACTGGTAGGACAAGAACAGATGTCCTCCAGGCCCCTGCGTCCTCTGTGTCCTCAATGTCCGGTATAAAAACTGACACACCAAAGAATAATGAAAATACCAAACCAATATGTTCTGCAGAGGCCTTTAAACTGCATTTAGGTAAGAAGGTTTAAATTATAGATTTATAATTCATTTTGGATATTTAGTTACATAGTAGCTCACAAGCTTTCAGGCATAATAAAGTCGGATCCGTTTCAGAAGTGCACAGTTCAATCATCTGCGTTGTATGTCCATGTAAATCAAAATTTAAAATAACAAACAAGAAAAATGTTAATATGCGTGGAGTTACTGTTACAACTTTAAGCCCCCTTACCCGATAGTTTGTATTTTACACCCAAGAGGAAGTACAAAACTTGATCAGGATTTCAAGATGAATAAAATCTTACCAATTGAAAACAAGATTTTAAATTTAAAGCTTATAATGTAATCTGCATTTTGATTTTGAAAATATTCTCAAGAAAAAGAACTGAATGAATTGAAAAAGAAGAATAGCGACAAATTAGAGAGCTTCCTTATCGTAACTAGTAAACAGGTAAAACAACATAAAGTAAAAATAAATTTTAAAAATGAAATCAAGGTAATTCAAATATGGGTTACTAAATTTTCACCTTACCAAATTGTCATTACCATATTGTCATTACAAAATTGTCACCTTATTAATTGACATTACCAAATTGTCATCGCCAAATTGACATAACCAAAAATCCGCCCGTTACCGTTACCGTTGTAAATCGGACATTGCCATCTTTGCATGGAGGGGCACTTGAAAATACGCTAACAGTCCCATTAAATTAAATATTTGCATCCGTGATGCAATAACAACTTAGTTTTTTCTCTTTTTTAAAAATGCTTTTCAATAATTTTTTAGGTTTATATTCTTGACTGGAAAGCACACCCTGTAGACCTTTGTTTAGAGCTTATTATTCAGGTTATTATTAATATTATTATTAATATTATTATTAATATTATTCAGGTTATTTTAATTATTTTGTTAATTTTCAGCTTATTATTATTATTATTATTATTACAGGGATCTATGAAAGAAGCTGAGATTATTATTGCATGCTTTCATCTTAACAAAAATGTTATGCAAGGTAAAATTTGACCAACATGCTTTATGATTTTTTTTTCATGTTTTTTCATGTTTTTTTCATAATTTTTCATACTTTTTTATACTTTTTCATACTTTTTCTTACTTTTTCATACTTTTTTATGTTTTTTATACTTGTTCATACTTTTTGAAACCATTTTATACTTTTCCATACTATTACTTGTTCATACTATTTAATGCTTTTCATACTTTTTCAGTCTAAACTTTTGTGACAAATAAAATTTTTCATAAATTCTTTTCAATGTATTTATTAACTATTTTATTTTAGAGTTGGCTGCTGATTTAAAACTTAGGAATATAAAGATATATTTTTGATATATTTGATATATTATTGAGAAATATGATGCGTAATTAATAATAAAATATTAAAGGATTTTATATTAATCGATTTTATATGAGATTTTTTTCTTATTATTTATTTGGACCGATTGGGCTGAAACTTTATGAGGAAATTTTTTTAAGTGTTTCTAAAATTCAATGGGCAACGCCAGGCCCTTGGGCTACTATTACATATATCTGTTGTATAGTTGTAAGGATTACAGCGCAGCTATCAGTCTGTATAAACAGTGTGGAGCTCGGTGTTTAAAGATCGCTTTAAAGCTAGCAGTATTTGGCTGTGTTTCCCAGCTCCTAGCTTACTTACAGGTTAGTTACTAGTTAGTCCACTAAGCTTTTTTTTTTGCCTTAATGTCACTGAATAGTTAATATATATTCTATATTATTATTGATTATTTTTTTATTATTATTATCATCATCATTATTACCACAAGTTTTATTAACGTTGTTTAAAAAGAAATAATTTTAGGTTTTGTTCTCAAATAAAAATCATGATTCTACGCACAGAGAGAAAGTGCATCTGGCAAACCTAACTCTAATCTCATATTTTCAACAGGTAAATAATAAGTTCGGGATTATTCCAGTCCTTTAAGGAACTGTACAGTGTACACGTCATTTATGGAGTCTCATATGTATGTCCGATTTACAATAGTACACTTCAAAGTCTTGTCTTATCAGGAATGCATGTGATATCTATTTTCTTTTCTTGGACATTTTTTTATATTCAATTTTGCTTTAAATCTATTGAGAAAATTGTCAGAATTTATCACTTTTTAAGCTAAAAAAGGAACTGTATTCTCCATTTTACTGAGCAGACAATGTACAAAGGTTTACAAGTTACCACTTGGTAAATTAAATGAAATTACAATGACAGTCGCTGTAAAAACTCATTTCATTTTTATACCAAAAAAGATACCCCCCAGCTTAAAATATCAAATGATAAGTCTATCTTATAGACCTTTTCAGTCTTCACGGCAGTGCTTAGGATCCGGATCCGTTGGATCCGCAAGATTTTGGCTTCCTGGATCCGGATCCGGATCCAAGGGGTAAAATATCAACCAAAAACTGCAAAAAAGAATCTTTTTTTTTCTCCTATACCCCAAATCTGAACTTTTGATAAAAGAGAGATTATAAAAATTTCCTCATTTCTGAATGGTTCATCAAGTTTTAGGATAAAAACAAGCGAAAAAAATTTGAAAATTATTTTTTGCTAAAAAATCAGTAAATCTTAAAGAAATGACCTGGATCCGAATCCTTTTTTTTCCAGTGCGGATCCAGGATCCGGATCCGCATCAAAATTGAATGGATCCGAAGCACTGCTTCAATGCTCTTTTCTAGTATCAATCTTAACTTTTAAAGTCACCATTTTGCATCGTACTCTGCAATAAACAAAAAAATTTGCTGATTTGTCTGCTTTATTTGGTTGATTTTTAAACACAAAAAATGTCGATATTTTCCTTGGGTCATGTGAGTTGCCACAAATAAATTTGGCCCGATTGATTTAGTCGTTTTGACTTTTTTGTTTTTATATATTCAGTGGGATGTTAATTCATTAAAAACCCTAAACTTTGTTTGAAGATTTTGAAGTCTACAATGTTCATAAAACAAAGACTGGAGGACAAGTTTGCTAATTTTCTTCTGGAAAACAGGTATCTAAAATTAAAATCATTATATTAAACACATTTTGGGAGTTTCACATCACATTTCCATAATGATCTTGACTTCTGGGTTTGTCTTTGAATGTTTGATTAGTTTTTTACGTTTATCATAATTAATAATTATCATCATTATCCCCATCATCACCAATATCATCATCAACATTAACATCATTATCATCACTATCATTGGTATAATCAGTATCATCGGTATAATCAGTGTCATCATTATCATCATTATCATCACTGTATTGGATCATCATTTTCATCAATATTATCCGTGTCGTCATATTACCAGTATCATCATTATCATCGTTATCAGCATTTTCATCAGTATTGTCAGTATCATCATTATCATCAATATCATCAATATCAGCATTATCATCATTATCATCAACATCATCATTATCAGTATGTTTCAGATGTTATGATGAGGTTTTGATGGTGAGCCAAGGAGTGGATACAGGTTCATGGAGCCTTCTCTCCAGGGTTGTATTCAAGCATGGTTTAGAGAGAGAGCTAGCTCAGGGTTTAGGTTAGTTTTATTCTCTCCAGAGTTTAGTTTAGTTTATTCTCTCTAGGGTTGTATTCAAGTATGGTTCATATAGAGAGGAGAACTAGCTCAAGGTTTAGGTTAGTTTATTCTCCAGGGTTAAATTATTCTCTCCTGGGTTTCGGTTAGTTTATTCTCTCCAGTGTTTAGGTTAGTTTATTCTCTCCAGGGTTTAGGTTAGTTCATTCTCTCCAGGGTTTAGGTTAGTTCATTCTCTCCAGGGTTTAAGTTAGTTTATTCTCTCCAGTGTTTAGGTTAGTTTATTCTCTCCAGAGTTTAGGTTAGTTTATTCTCTCCAGTGTTTAGTATAGTTTATTCTCTCCAGGGTTTAGGTTAGTTCATTCTCTCCAGGGTTTAGGTTAGTTCATTCTCTCCAGTGTTTAGGTTAGTTTATTCTCTCCAGGGTTTAGGTTAGTTTATTCTCTCCAGGGTTTAGGTTAGTTTATTCTCTCCAGTGTTTAGGTTAGTTTATTCTCTCCAGGGTTTAGGTTAGTTTATTCTCCAGGGTTTAGGTTAGTTTATTCTCTCCAGTGTTTAGGTTAGTTTATTCTCTCCAGAGTGTTTAGGTTAGTTTATTCTTTCCTGTGTTTAGGTTAGTCTTATTTCTTAGAGATTAAACTTGCAGGTCGTGGTACTTTGTCCGTAGGTTACTCGTCACAAATTACAAATAGCCTGAATTCTTAACATTTGAAGATCATTTTTCTAAATCTCTTAGGTTCATCTTTGATCTAAGAATACAAAAAAATTTACTGTTTGACCATTTATTTCAAGAGTTGCATGTCAAATTAAGCCATTCTTGTTTTTATACCTTTAGTTGGTAATTTTTAATTATGCTTTCTGTACAATAAGTGCCTTTATGAACTTTGCATTGAGCATGTCCCTCTTTAAATGAAAGGTCACTTCCAATTGTATAAACAGTATCAATTTAGGATTTCGCAGATTTTTCAGTATTCTCTCGTGGATTTCAAGAAAAAAAATAATTCTGTTTTCTAGCTGGTTGGTTTGAGAATATGAATAAGGTAGGAGATATCTCTGGATTAATTCTCCTGGATCATGTTGGATCTGAAAAAGAACATTTTCTCAACATTCTGCTCAATCCAACCCTTATTCCAGCCTCAGGTTACAACTAGTTCGGTTTTGGGTCGTTTCTTCCTAATTTCTTTTTCAGGGTAAAAATTAGTGAAAGAAAAGGAAATGTTTTCAAATTATTTATTCTAAACATTTGGTTTTCTTGCAAATTTTCAGGACCCTGACAGAAGATATCTGTAATGAAAAATTAATCCAAATTTATATCATTTTATCTATATATAAATTTGGCTTGTCTGTCTGTCTGTCTGTTTGTTTGTATCCAATAAACGTCAAAACGGCTGAACCGATCGGGCCCGAATTTTTTGTTGGACATCACGTGCCCACAGGGAAGGTTTATAAATGATCAAAATTTTAAATATTTGTCTCCATCAAAATTCGGTCTTCATTAAATTTTTGAAAATTTTAAAAATCCACAAAAATTTTTTGTGAAAATCCGCGAATTATTTTTGTTTTGTTTTACGATGTACACAAAGAGAAGCGCCCTATAAGGCTAGTATCTTTAAATTAGTAATCTTTTGTTTATATATTTTTCAATATTAAGGTATAAGTTGTTCCATTGCTCTCAGCCTGTTCCGAATGATTGGTTCCATTTTACCAGTCCTGTCTTGGGTTCAGTTAGGTAGATAGCATTGTTTCCCGGATTTGAATATTAAAAATATTTGAATCTATGGAAGAGAAATAGAGAATGTTAATCTTTTTCTCAACCCCCCATTTTTCGAACTTGAGAGATTGTTCTATAAAGCTTTTACATAAAAAATCCTTCGTTTTTTTCGATAATATTATTTATAATTTTATTTACTTGTATTTTTCCGTTTTATGATAAAAATTAATAATATTTTAAAATCTTTTTTGTTTGATTGAGACCACTGACCATGCTCGATTGTAAACTTTATGAATTATTCAAAATACATAAATTTAAATATAATCTGCTTTCAGTTAGTTTGGTTTCAAATACAGATCCCCGGAATCCTGATCTTTCTCCCCTTATGAATCCAGGAAATCATCATTATAATCCATATGATCATCATCATAATCCATATGAGTATCATCAACATCATAACCCAAATGTGCATCATCAAAGTCCATATGATCATCATCATAATCCACATGATCAGCATCATAATCCATATGATCATCATCATAATCCACATGATCATCATCATAATCAACATGAACATCATCATAATCCACATAAACATCATCATAATCCATAATTCCTCTTCATACAACAAAGAACAGATGAAAAGATAAGAAAGCTCTTTGGGTGAGCTCCATAGAGCAAGTAACTAATGTTCATTTATATCATCATTATTATTATTATTTAAATGTATAATAAAGCTCCTCGCTCATACCTATATAATGTTAGCTATAGCTGGCCAAACGGCTGGACCAAACTTAAACCCATAATCGAATTTTTTTTTCAAATTCGATTTTTTTTATAATATCACGGGCAACGCCGGGCACTTCTGCTAGTTATTATTTTTGTTTTTGCTGTTGTTGTCGTCGTCGTCGTCATTATTATCATTATTAATATTTCTAATATTTTTAATTGTATTAAATTCTTATATGCTTGATATTTAGATTTTTTCATTTATTATGTCATTCTATTATTTTTAAAGTTTTCAAAACAATCATGATTCATTTTCTTTATAAACCATGATGATATGTCTTGGTATAATTTATGATGATGGTTCCAGGATGTGGTATGAATGGTGGGGAAGAAAATGTGGTTATCATAAAACAAGTAAATTTATAAGTTATTCTTAAACTCTGCATTTGAAATTTTTTGTTTTTTGTCATGCCATTTCTAGGAATTCTTCATTTAAATTCATTGATAAGAGTTTAAATTATTTAAATTATAAAATACAGAGCGTCCCATATCATGTTAGATTTTCTCCAATCTTTAACGCCAAAATACGCACATAATACTCGACAAATCTAGCATTTTCTGCAAAAATATTTCTATTATCCTTTTTAAATTTTTCAGAAGGATTCTTTCTTAACAAATTTTCTGATTTGTACCTCAAACCGTAATTTAGACCCATTGGCGCGGTCTAATTTGATGTGGGACACCCTGTAGTAAATAGTTAATGTTTTTAAAACGTCTTATAAACACCCGATATAGGTATTTTTATTGTAAAATGGCAAAATCTTTTGCACTTTTTCTTACAATTTTTAAAGTAGGACCAATAAAACTGCTGAATAGGAAAACGACATTTAATAAATCTTATTTCTATTTGATGTTGATTCAAAGAAAATAGTTTCACCTGCAGCTTAAGAATGAAATTTGAAGTGAAATGTTCATTGCACATTTGCTGTGGTATATGTTTATTGGACTGGTAGAAATCATGACTTGAGTCAACCGTCGTCTTCCCATTCCCCAGTTGTATGGGCCCCAATATTCATTCATATATTTATTCAACTACAAAGCATGAGATATTACAAATAAACAATCACAATTTACTATTTACTATTACAATTGGGAGGGGTGACTGCCCTCAGGGTTTTAGAATTGCTCCTAGGGTTTTGGAGTGCTCCCAGGATTTTGGAGTTGCTCCCAGGGTTTTGGAGTAAAATCTGAATATTTATCCGACCTTTTATAAAAAGTTCTTTTAAAAGGGTTCTTTAAAACCGAACATTGAAAAAAAAGGCTCTTTTTACTGTCTTTATTCAGATATTTGAAGGAAAAAATCGCTAATTTCAGTCCAAATAGCCTGTGGCGATCATATAGTTTTGAATTGCCAAACTGACGACAAGATTATTGATAAATGTATAAAGAAAATCTTTATTAGCTAGATACATAAAGGTTTCATTTGAGTTGGTCTATTACATCTCAACATCTGTATAAGTAATCTTATTGCCAAGTTTTTCTCAGAAAAATCCAATTTTTCGCAAAAAAAATCTTTAATTGATTGGTGCCCTTAAAAAACTGCTTTTTTACTCAACAGTCACAAAAAATGTCTATGCCAAATTTAGAGCCTTTTATGTTCGCACTTTACCGAAAATCTTCAAATTATTGATATATCTAAGGGAAAAAAAAATTTTTCTTCGTCGAACAAAGTTTTACTTTACTGACTTTTTGATAAATTAACTGTAATTTCTTTTAAGGAGTTGGTTCGAATACATGTTCTCTCTCTTCTACATATCCTAAACAGAAAATCATTGGTTGATCCATCCCTGTTTAATCTCATCTCAACATCAGGTTAGTCCAGAGCTGGGAACTTTTAAACAAACGAATTTAGTTTATCCCTTTATTCCTTCCCGGCAGGTCAACCGAAATCTGAAAAGAGGCGGGCAATGGGCATCGTTTTCGTGAATCAAATAAAATTGACATTTTTTTAGATTTAAAATCTAAATTCTGTTGTTTTCTTTAGATACTCCCATGTCAAGAAGTATAAGGGATCCCGCTGCTGTTCCTGTTGTGTTAGAATCCAGGCTTTCTGCAGGATTTAGGGATTATATTTATAAACTAGCTTGAGACCCCAGCGTTGCCCAGGGTACTCGTAGTTACTCCCGCCGTTTACCCGACCCGCGCTTGGTCGTAATTTAAGATTTAAGCTAATATTTCCTATAAAAAAGGAACCATTCAACGTAGAACCCTTAAACCAAGCTTATAATATTCCCTTGGTTCTCTCGAGTTGCTCATGGAAAATTTGAGGCAAATCGGGCTGTGAGTTTATGAGTTATAATCGGACATATAAACAAACAGAGATTACAACTTTATTCATTATTCTTGAGTATATTTTAAAGGGACTGTACACGGTATTTTAAAGGGACTGTACACAGTATTTTAAAGGGACTGTACACAGTATTTTAAAGGGACTGTAGACGGTATTCTAAAGGGAATGTACACGGTATTCTAAAGGGACTGTACACGGTATTCTAAAGGGACTGTACACGGTATTCTAAAGGGACTACACAGTATTTTAAAGGGACTGTAGATGGTATTCTAAAGGGACTGTACACGTTATTCTATAGGGACTGTACACGGTATTTTAAAGGGACTGTAGACAGTATTTTAAAGGGACTGTAGACATTATTTTAAAGGGACTGTAGACGGTATTCTAAAGGGACTTTAGACGGTATTATTAAGGGACTGTACACAGTATTCTAAAGGGACTGTACACGGTATTTTAAAGGGACTTGTAGACAGTATTTTAAAGGGACTGTAGACAGTATTTTAAAGGGACTGTACACAGTATTTTAAAGGGACTGTACAGTATTTTAAAGGGACTGTACACGGTATTTTAAAGGGACTGTAGAAAGTATTTTTAGGGACTGAAGACAGTATTTAAAGGGTCTGTAGACAGTTTTTTAAAGGGACTTGCACAGTATTTTAAAGGGACTGTACACGGTATTTTAAAGGGACTATAGACAGTATTTTAAAGGGACTATAGACAGTATTTTAAAGGGACTGTAAACGGTATTTTAAAGGGACTATAGACAGTATACTAAAGGGACTGTAGACAGTATTTTAAAGGGACTGTAGACAGTATTTTTAAAGGGAGTGTAGACATTTTAAAGGGAGTGTAGACATTTTAAAGGGACTGTAGACGTTATTTTAAAGGGACTGTAGATGTTATTTTAAAGGGACTGTAGACAGTATTTTAAAGGGACTGTAGACAGTATTTTAAAGGGACTGTACACAGTATTTTAAAGGGACTGTAGACGGTATTTTAAAGGACCCTCTGTTTTTAGCGTGGCATGTCTAATTCAAAATTGTTCCAGCTAAACCTTTATTGGAACAATAATGTGAGTGCTATCACCGTTTTTCTATTTAGAAAAAGGGTTAACAGTAGTTTCCTTCTTCTTTTCTAATGCATATCGAATTGAACTAAATAAAAACTTTGTAGGTAATAAAATGATGATTTTTGATATGCCTTTATTTATACTGTTTTGAAATAGAAATGCCAAACTATTAATGTAATTTTGTGGACATTCTTTTCGTCAACAATTCTATTATTTAAAACGTTATCTTGTTGATAATAATTATGTACGTACTTCATATTGTACAGTGTACAAATATATCCCTTTAGTCATGTACTGTACAATCAGAACGGAAATCTTGTATCTTGGGGTTCAAACAATCTTGGAGCTACAGGTAAGAAAAAAAGAAAAACATTTTATTTTATAATAAACCCGGCGTGTTTTTTAATTTTAAATTTGATTCTGATACAGGGTTAACCAGAAATGGTGAGAATTTGCTAGTTGTATTTGGCTTCTGCCTGAAATATTTAAAGCAATTATTTTTAAATCTTTTTAAATTCCAATATCAAGAATAAAACTGAATTCTTTCATTTCAGATCAAAAGTAAATAAAGCCTACTAATTGCACTAATCTTAAGACCACATTTCTTTCTTAATGTAGTATTAGTCATCTCAAACCTACTGTGGGGGTGTAGGGCGTCCCTAACAGTCTGATTTGATTTGATTTGATTTGAACATTTGAAGAAGAAGGAAATAAGTTCAGGGAATCTGACTGGAAGAAAATAGACTGAAATAATTCCGTACAGTCGTCTCTGATGTCTCATCTTCTGTGGAAACCTTTTATGCCTTAACAAAAATTAGAACCAGAGGGCGAAACTTTTGATTTTGATACTAATTAGGTTCAGCGATGTGAAGACTCAATGTACTATTCAAAACTTATTCTGAATAATTCTGATAATTCCTTTATGTTTTTCTGCAGTAGAAATACGCAAGTCACTTCTGTAAGCACAATTGAAGATATTTAAAATTTTAAACATTTATATCTCTTTTTTGTGAGAATTAATGTTTAAATATGCAGGACTGAAACCATCCTACGCTGTATTCTTTACTCCTGGATCTCTTTCTTTCTTCACCAAACTCTGTATCAAAGTTTTACAGGTAAACAGATTTTTTAACATTAGTCAGAGCTGGGAACTTTTATATCAATGGGGGATTATCAAGCTCAATGCTTGATCTCGATATTTTGTTAATCTGCAGATTAATTTAATCTTCAATCGAAATTCCAGGGTAATAGTACGCTTCAGGAATTAATTCAATGAAGAGACCAAGCATTTATCCTCAAATTAAAAGTGCCCGCAGTGGATATCGAGATATCAATGTTTCTGGATTATGAGTATCCAACAAAATGTTGAGGTTGCAAAAATATTATGAAAAGAAAGGTAGGATAAGAGGATACTGTGGATACTCCATTAAGATAAAAATACAAAAATTTGTTTTGACTTTAAATGATTGGTGTCTGATTCACAACGATACCCTGGAAAAGTGTTTAATTCTGTTAATTATTTCATTATCTCTGAAGCAAGAAATGCGCAAGTCTTTTTAGAAGAGAAACCACAAATAAAAACAATCAGTTTTAAAAAAACTAAACCATGGATATCTAAATCTTTAAAGGATACCGTAGCTACTTAATCAATCGCGGGGCGGCCGGCACTTGAAAATACAATTACAATCTCTTCTATAGGTGAGCTGTGGAAAGAACCATTCCATGGTGCTTTCAAAGAACGGGGTTTACGTCTGGGGGTCAAACCATTACGGTCAACTAGGGTCAGGTAATTTGTAAATTAACAAATTTTAAATCTGAAATATTTCTACATTTATATATATTTCGACGGTTTAATTTCAAAAATCAAAGAAAAAAATGATGCCGATTCACCAATCTTATAAGGTATGAAGAAATATTTTTTGCTTTTTTTGGCATTAAAAAAAGATCAACTTTGTATATTTAAGTATGTAAGAAATCAAATTGGAACCGAGGGGAGGCCGAATTTATTTTTCGTTTAAAATATTAAATTTTGATCTATTTCAGGGAAAAAAATTATCCAAAGCAACAAACCTATCCGACTATCCCTCGAATCCATCGTTCAAATCTCCGCCGGTCAGTTCCACTCTCTTGCTCTGGATTCCAGTGGTCTAGTGTACTCATGGGGCTGGGGGGTTCATGGCCAGCTCGGAAATGGACACTTTGACGATGTCGAAGAACCCCAGGTTGTCCACCGCCTCTCTAAACTAGTAGTTGTCCAAGTTGCCGCAGGATATGCCCATTCTTTATGTCTGACAGAAAACGGTGAGATCTGGTCATTTGGTTTGGGTTTGTATGGTCAGCTGGGTTCAGGACACACAGACAAATCATTAGTTCCCGTGAGGGTTGTCCTAAATGCGCCGGTGCGGCAGGTGTCTACCGGGTACTTTCATTGTCTAGCTATATCCGTAGATGGAACTGTGTATCAGTGGGGATCCCATCCTCAGGTTCTCAGGCTAGAGGCGCAGCAGCGAAAGAAGGAGATGTTAATGCAGAAAGATCAAGATCAGGACCTAGAAGCGTCGGAATCTCCAGTTAGTCTTCCAACCTTTATACCTCCAGTATCTGAGCAGCATCTTACGCCGCAGGTTTTTGATACCTCAGGAGTTCGTGGCAGGGTCAACTCTATTTCTTGTGGATCTCAACATAGTCTCATATTAACTGATCAGGGTCAGGTAACTTTTTTTTGAAAATTTCTTTTTATATTTTATTCTTTCTAATCATCTAGCTAAACTAAAACTATCAACAGTTTTAGATTGTATTTATTAATGTTAGTATCTTGGAAACTCTACTGTCTAAGATAAGCTTGAAAACTTTTAAATGCAGGGTGTTTCACTAAACATATATGTTGATATTTGTTTAGGTGTATACATGGGGTCGAAATATGGAGGGTCAGCTAGGACAAGGGGGTCGGAACAGTACTAAGCTTCCTGCACTAATTGTAGGGTTAGATCAGGTAACTCCAGAATATATTCTTATTCAAAATTGGAACATTTTTATTTGATTTTACGCCATTGTATTATTAATTATTTAATCTTAATATTTTTTATTACTTTTATCATTGATTAGAGAAATATGATTGGTCAATAAATCCTTGATGGTCTGATTTGATTTGATATGTTAAAAGCTGTAAAATTAAGTTGACCATAGCTATTAACTATGTACTGTAAGCTTGGAAGCCCAGCGTTGCCCAGGGTACTCACAGTTACTTCCACCATTTACCCGCACTTGATCGATTTTACTAGGAAACTTACTCTTAAAGTCAACCCAATCAACTTAGAATCTAATCTCAAAACCAAACTAAGACAATTCCCGTGGTTTTCCCGAGTTCCCCAATCAAAATCGGTCAATGGGATTCCTGAGTTATGTTCGGACAAACAAACAACAGACAAACAGAGATTACAACTTTATCTAAATAGATTCCGAAACAATCTGATTTAGGATTACATATGTGCTGCTGTGTGTGGGAGTGATTTTACCCTGGCATTATCAGAATCTGGTTCCTTGTTCGGTTGGGGGAGTAACTCCTCTTGTCAGCTGGGTAGACCACCCCTAGAACCAGATAAGGGAACAGAGCAGAGCAAAGTAAGTATCTTAGAACCTGATATGGGAACAGAACAGAGCAAAGTAAGTATCTTAGAACCTGATAAGGGAACAGAGCAGAGCAAAGTAAGTATCTATGAACCTGATAAGGGAATAGAACAGAGCAAAGTGAGTATCTTAGAACCAATTAATGGAACAGAACAGAGCTGAGTAAGTATCGTAGAACCAATTAAAGGAACAGAACAGAGCAAAGTAAGTATCTAAGAACCTGATAAGGGAACAGAACAGAGCAAAGTAAGTATCTTAGAAATTAAAGGAACAGAACAGAGCAAAGTAAGTATCTAAGAACCTGATAAGGGAACAGAACAGAGCAAAGTAAGTATCTTAGAACCTGATAAGGGAACAGAGCAGAGCAAAGTTAGTATCTATGAACCTGATAAGGGAATAGAACAGAGCAAAGTGAGTATCTTAGAACTAATTAATGGAACAGAACAGAGCTGAGTAAGTATCGTAGAACCAATTAAAGGAGCAGAACAGAGCAAAGTAAGTATCGTAGAAACAATTAAAGGAACAGAACAGAGCAGAGTAAGTATCTTAGAACCTAATAATTGATCAGCGCAGAGCAACCCAATCTTGGTTAACACAGTACTGTGCTTGAAAGCTTTGTAGAATCTAGACTGGCCTTCCTTTCGTTAATTAAATAATTGTTGTGTAGCCATATTTATTTATTTAAATAGAAATAAACCTTATGAGGCAAACTAAATCTAATCAGCAGTTTTACGATAGGAAAAGGAAATCTCCTGAAATACTGTTAGCGCATTACCCAAATTATATTAAACTCGAAATAAAATGGCGGGTTTTTTAGGTTTTGTTGATGAAGACGACAAAGAGAATAATTCGGCTTCAGCATGGACTGCAGAACAGCTGTGATATTCCCAAACCGGTTCCTGGAATCCAGAAATCAGGAACAACATTTTAAAATTTCATTTTTTCAAATATAAAGATTATTTTTAAATCGAATTATAAGATTTTCTATTTAAGGGACTATACGCTGTATGTAATGTATATCAATAATTAACATTTTATAAACTGATTATTTTTAATTTAGGTTTCTTTTCAAATTTGACTTGTGCACTTAGACTGCAGGGAAACGTATAGGAATTGTTATAATTAAACAATTTTAAACTTCAGGGAAACGACATATCAATCCACATTATTGATCGGTAAAGGTTATAGAGTACCCTTGTGAATCCGGCTTTTCCATTTTTGCATTGAAATTGACGTGAAATTACGTTTACAGTCCCAATTAAAGAACTTTCTACAAGAAATCGTTTAAGGCTCCACATTTTTCTTGAACTTAAAAAATATTTAGCTTGATGGACATGATGAGAAGTTCCATATCTGAAAGCTATGTTGGGACTTGGGAGAGATTTTTTGTGTATTTTTAATACAAAAAAAAGTAAAGTAGACGTTTCAAAAGGTCTAGAATTTACTTTTTAAGAACTATCGCACACAAAACCTTTAAATAATTTCAAATTTTAATTTTAAATATATTTTAAATTTGTTTCAACGCAGGAATTTACGCAGAACAAATTAACAAAACTCCACAAGGAAAACATTCAAAACTGATATATAACAAACAAGAGAAAAACAAAACATTAATAAAACATGATAAAAAGTTTAAAGATAAAAACTGCTTTTTAAAATTAGTATTTCATCAATTCTTTGCATATTTTAGACGCTAGCAAAGTTCAAATTAATAATCAATCATGTCGCTGTTAAATATTTAAAATACAAGTTAATAAAGGTTAAATTAGACTGGTTCTGGTTTTGAAGGTCTCCTCTTTCAGAATATCTTGTCTCCGACCTGTATCCTACACAACCTGGAGTAAGGACGGAATTATCTCCAGGTTTAGAAGAGAACCATCCTTCATCAATTCACAGTCTTCAATTCAATCTTCACAGGTAGTAATGTGCTTTGTGCATTCCGTTGGTTCGTTATTGGTTCTATTTTTGCATATCTGTTCTTTCATGGTGGTCCAAAACAGGTAAAGAAGAAATACATCAACCAACGTGTTATAACGATCTTTTTGGATTGTATTCTATTGTTTTTAGGGGAAAAAAATTCACTAAAGGCAAACCTTAACTTATGACAGTTTTGAATTCTTGAACATTTTTTAAAAGTCATCAAAAAATTATCCAAAACGATTACAAAACTATTGACAAGTGACTTTGTGTCAAACTTTTGTATTAGTTCATCTCCTAGGATACAATTACAAAAGATCAAACTACAAATTACTACTAATGGACGTAATTTTAATCCGCCGCTATATCCGTAAGATAAAACTTTTCTGATATGTTGTCGCAGAGCTCTGTCCCCCTTTTCTGTCCTTGCCGCAGAGGTCGACCTCCTTACCTGATCTAGCACCAGAGGTCGATACCTAATCAGCCGCAGAAGTCGACCTCCTAACCTGATCTAGCCGCAGAAGTCGACCTCCTTACCTGATCTTGCCGAAGTGGTCAACCTCCTTACCTGATCCATCCGCAGAGGTCGACCTCCTTACCTGCTCTAGCCGCAAAGGTCGACCTCCTTACCTGCTCTAGTCGCAGAGGTCGACCCCCTTATCTGCTCTAGCCGCAAAGGTCGACCTCCTTACCTGCTCTAGCCGCAGAGGTTGACCTCCTTTCCTGATCTAGCCGCAGAGGTCGACCTCCTTATCTACTTTCGCCGCAAAGGTCAACCTCCTTATCTGCTCTAGCCGCAAAGTTCGACCTCCTTACCTGCTCTAGCCGCAGAGGTTGACCCCCTTACCTGATCTAGCCGCAGCGCTTAGTCAAGAAATTCTTTAAGAATTGGAACATTATGCCATTAGTTAGGATCCTCAACTAAAAGGAACTGTAACCGTAATTTCAAGTGACTGTTCATGCTTATTTCTGATAATTCATATACGTTTTCTTGCAGTAGAAGTGCGCGAGACACTTCAGTCGAGAACATACAATTGAAAATAATTAGTTTTCTATCTTATAAACATTGAAGAGTAATTTACACCTGATCAGACAAAGCTTTTTAGGGTACCATTGTAAATCAGGCATTGACATCTTTGTATGAATTTACTCTTACAGTATATTGTGGCTTCATGATGTTGCAAATGGCACTGAGAGTAAATTTCAAATTAGTCTAAATTGTATTCACTCCTTTCAACTCCTTTCATTCAACATCCTTGTTTATATTTCAATGTCGTTTAATAAAGTTGTTTCAGAATTTTGGAGGAGTTTTCATCAAGTCTTAATATACCTTCAACCTTGCAACATTGTGTTCAAGCAGAAAACTTCCAAGCAGCAGCGAAACTCTGCTTTTTAGGTTAGATTTTTTTATCTTGTCTTGAGATTATTTATGAAATAATAATTTTAATATTTTTTCTACTTTTAGATGGAAAACACCTTGAGTCTTTCAAATACACCTTAAAGGTACACATAGACATTTTTTAACGCTTAGGCGAAAAATATGACAATTTCATTGGTATAAATGCTGAACTATAACCCAACTAAGTTGATATACTTCTCTTCTTTCTGCAGACCTATCTACAGCCTTTCCAATTCTTACATTTTAAAGTAATAGCAGCAATAAATAATTCTATGGATTTTTTTACCTTTACCTTCAAAGCTGTGAAAAGTACTCATTTATTTATTTCTTCTGATCAAAATTATTTCAGAGTATTTTGCTGAACGAAAAGAACGAGAAGGAAAAAGAAGACTTAAGTTTTCAGATGTTTTTAATAGTCCTGTCAGCCAGTTCAAAGCAACCCTCAGGAAACCAAATAATCTCGCAACAATTTATTTTCATATTTTCAATGTTTTTTGTTAACCTGGAGCTCGAAGGAACATAACCTGGAGGCTGGAGGAGATGATACTTTGACTGTAGGTTGAATGATAATAACAATAATAATAATAATAATCCTCTGGGACTGTGAAAATAATATTATTTAGTGACTCCTTCCTTGACAAGTAATGTCTAAAGTTTGAAGCACAAGTACTACAGGACTTTGTATTACTGAAAATGATAACCAGAATACTCTGAAATAGGAAAATGACTTTTAGAATTAAGTTTAACTGTAGCTTTTTGTGGGCAATATTGATCATTACATTACGTATTGTTTATTATTTATTGGTTTAGAAGAATACAGAAGTTTGCAGTTTTCAATGCTTCAAGGAAAAAATCTTCAATAAGTCATAAAAATTAAGTATTTTACTCAAAAGAATGGCTGTACAAATGTCGCACTCGTCAAATTACTAAGGTTATTATCCACCCTAGATTCATTTTAGCGAATATGTTTTCAATGATTAACTTGAATCGCAAAGTTGTTTCAATTTTGAAAAAGAAAATTAATAATTGATTAAAGTTAAAAATTTTGGTTTTATATCCTATTTTACAATTTATAAGTGTTTATCCATTAAGTTAAAGAAAGTTGATTACAATATTTTTAAATAAAGATTTTATATCATCCAGGTTTGATCAAATTTTGGACAGACGAAAAACTTGAATTAACCAGGTGCATTTTTATGCTGATTTACGGGACTGTAAAGGAAAAATGAAATTGGGTATAGGCTGAAACCTAAGCATTTAAGAGTTGATTGAGACCCATGAGAGTTCTATCTGATGTTCCTGTCTCGAGAAATTAATAAAAAGCTGTGTAAAATTTATACGATTTCCACGGAATGATGGTTGATCTTTTATTTATTTATTTAAAATATTGTATAACAATATTAGGTTTAAACAGATGATGATCAGCAAATAGACAATCAATCTGAAAATAACGATCTCCCAGAGGAACATAAGAAACTTATGTTTGCTCCTATTATTATTTGTATTTAATAATTTTTTTTTTTTGTTCGTATGACGTTCTGGTCACATTGTACGGACGTATTTATTATAATATTAATCATATACCCCCTTTCATTTTTCCTTTTCAGTCCCTTTAAAGAAAATGTTAGTGTAATTTGAAGTTCCTTTTTGTCCGATTCACATTGGGAGAAAAGCCGGTTTATCATTAACATTTTTATATATATTCCATTCTGTAGATTGGAGGATAAAGTAGTTCAAGTAGAGGATACAATTCTACTGAATACATTTTTATATATATTCTATTCTGTAGATTAGAGGATAAACTAGTTCAAGTAGAAGATACAATTCTACTGAATACATTTTTATATATATTCTATTCTGTAGATTAGAGGATAAACTAGTTCAAATAGAAGATACAGTTCTACTGAATACTCTTGTATATATTCTCTTCTGTCCGCCTACTTCAGATCTGGAAGAAAACAGGTACATTTTCTCTTTATGTGTTCAGAAATGCTTCAACGACCTAATCGAATAATAATATGGTTAATTTTTGGTAAAGCAGACTCTAAATTAAAACCTGAATTACAATTTCACTAAGAGACTGTTAGAGAAAAATTCTTTGAAAAGCTTATTTAAACTTATTCGATTCAGTAGTTTTGACATTTGTTGAAAAAAAAACCGACAAAGAAAGCAAACAAAAAGAAAAATGCATGACTTTTAAAATTTTGTTAATGTGACATAAAGGAACTGTTGACGTGAATACAACGTCTCTCTATCAATAGAGTTGCAAGCCCTATTCACAACGGTACCCTTTCAATATTAGTCTTGATGATCCCTGAAACGTTGAAGGTTGAATGTTCTGAAAAATAACAACAAAAATGTTAAATTGTGGTTTCACTATAAAAGTTGCTTGCGGATGTAAGCAGCAGAGACAAAGAATAAAATTGGACAGAATTTAGCGCTCTTCAATTTAGAAAATCGACGATATCTTTGTCATTGTTGCTCATTTATTGGTTTGTAGGGAGTCGGTTGTGACTGAGAAACCAGTTTTCAAAGTTGATGTTTCGTCTGTACAGTGTACAGTCAATTTAAAAAATCGCGATTATTAAAATCATAATTTTTTTTTATTTCCAGATTAACCGGGGTTTTTTCTCCCGAGTTTCTGCTGAGAATAGGAAACAAATTTGTCAACACTTCAAATGAAATCAGGTTAGGCCATTTTTTATTCTTGGTTCGCAAAACAGGGATTGTTATCATATGTAACTCACAGTGTTACTTCGGTTACTCGGTAGTGCTTCTTGTTCTTTCTTCAGCAAATTATTCAAATTATGGCACGACTATATTCGAGCTTGAGATCGTTTTTTGAATATTTCTAATATATCATTAGTCAATTATGAAATTTTATTTTGAGGTACAAAAAAAGAATTTTATTTTTATTCTTTAAAGTTGTAAAAACCTGGAATATTTTAGAAGTGAACCGAGTAGTTTTGAATTAAACAATCCTGAAGATGCACTCAGATACGTACTGCGAAATCAACAACAACAACAACACGAGATGTAGAAATGTACACTTTTATAACCTCTTCCATGACAGTCGTACAAATATTTAATTCCATTATATTTATTTTATATTATTATTACTATTTAATTAATTAATATATGGACAATAATTTGTTCTTTTACTTGGCCGTTTTGTCCAGTTTTGATACGCTCAAATAATTATTTTAAAAATATTCCTTTGGATTAAGTTAATCCGTAGATAGAACCGGTAGATTATCCCTGGGTATGATTATCCCTGGGTTTATGATTATTTTAACGAAACACAAATCAGGATTTATCTTTAAAACGACTTGAAATTCCCATCATTAGATGTTTCAATACTTTATCCTAAAATTGAAGAAAATGAATGTAGAGTGAAGGCGTCGTAGATTAGCGCCATTATGATCAAGAATTCCTTCCTTTTGTGCTTAAAAATGTTTTTTGATGTTCTTTTTATTATAATTTTTATAACAAACAATATTTTATTGTATTTTTATTTCAACACCATTTTCTGTAAAGTTCATATCTAATTTAAAAATATTCACAACAGCAACAACATGCTGATTTTTTCATATTGCAAATTAAATTTTATCAACCCCCGTCGAAAATTAGATGTAAAACTTTACACTATAAGTAGTTGTGTGAATGTATAAAGTATGTATGTTGTATAGACACAAGCTTTGAAGGTATTGTTAGCGCAATTGTAAATGGTCCTTCGGTAAAGGAACTGCAGTCGTATTTTTAAGTAATGGTCCATTTAATTGCCATGTCCGATTCACAATGGTACCCGCTCAATCTTTATCTGATCAATGATGTGCAATATTGTCGTTTTTTAGCTTAAAAAGAATTGTCTATGTAGCACATAGTATCAATTATCAAAAAACGGATGTCTCATTCATTCTGGATCCAACCAAAGCTTTTATGGGTACCCTTGTGAGTCGGACATACATTTTAATCAGGTTTTACAGTCCCATTAAACCTATGCTGAAAGCACCATTGTCTGGCTGTTTGTTTGATGTGACAAGCCAAAATTTACATATTCTTAACCCACGCTTTATATGTTTATTAATCTATTGTTTAATAAAATATTAGACAACATTGATTCTCAAGTGGATTTATCATGTTACTGTTCGGTAATCTCTGTTTGTCTTTCTGTTTGTTTGGGTGTCTGTTTGTTTGTCTCTCTGTTTTTTTGTCCGATCATAACTCAGGAACCCCTGGACCTATTTGCCTCAAAAGTTGATTGGAGACCAATGAGAATGTTCTTTAGCTTGGTTTTATGGTTCTTAGTCAAGTGGGTCAACTTTAATAGCAAAATTCAGTTTCCTGGTTAAAATCGTTTAAATGCGGGTAAACGGCGGGAGTAAATTTTAGCAACCTTCGCTTCGCTGTTAAACACACAAGTTTCCGCTTTTCCTCTTAACAAATGTTTGCTTACGGCGCTCCTTTATCAGAATCACGTTAGAATTAACATATATAAAGTTGTAATCTCTGTTAGAATTAACATATATAAAGTTGTAATCTCTGTTTGTTTGTTTTTCCGATCAGAACTTGGTAAAAAACTATTTTCAAGAAGCGTATCTAGGTGAAATCAAAATGATTTGTGTGGCTTAATTCTTTATTTCTATAGTTTCTTTCAGGGATTAAAATGGAAAGGGACCTTTATAATTCCCATGTTTAGGGGGCTTTTATAATTTCCCTATTCAAACTATCTATCAGCTTTACTCAGACCTTTCTCCGTTTTAGGAAATTTTACTTTTTAGTATTTTTATAATGATTCTCTCTTTTGATTCGTTGGTGGTGTCGTTTATGTTATATATATGACCAAAATCTGTAAATGTGTAAATGCGTTATTATTAGACACTAGCTGAAGGGCCCGGCGTTGCCCGTGGAAATTTTTATATTTTAAAGAATTTTTTTACTTTAAAAAATCATATTTTAAAGTTGAATTAATATTTTTTTCAACTTTACCCTGGTTAAAAAAGTGAAATATTTTTTGTAGTTTAGCGTCCCCCTAGCACAACATTGGAGTAAACAACGGTGCAAGACCGGATACAATATCAAGTGTATCCTGTTTTAACCATAATCTACACACTACACTGCCTCCTTGTGGAATCAGAATCAGACTTAAAAATAATATGTCCCGTGTAGCGGTTTGGCCGGCTACAGGGAACATATATACGAATATATATATATATATATATATATATATTCGTATATATGTTCCCTGTAGCCGGCCAAACCGCTACACGGGACATATTATTTTTAAGTCTGATTCTGATTCCACAAGGAGGCAGTGTAGTGTGTAGATTATGGTTAAAACAGGATACACTTGATATTGTATCCGGTCTTGCACCGTTGTTTACTCCAATGTTGTGCTAGGGGGACGCTAAACTACAAAAAATATTTCACTTTTTTAACCAGGGTAAAGTTGAAAAAAATATTAATTCAACTTTAGGATTAATTTAATACGAAAGTACAAAATGTTAATAAATAGCTGTTGATTTCTTTTATTTTATTAAGCTGACTTTTATGTCAACAATATGAGAATTAATGGAAACAAAATATAACATTTTTATTTTTATCGCCGCATGCAAACACCAGGATAATGTTTTAATGATGTCCTGAAACTTTAAAATTATTATTATCTGCACCAAGACTTAATGAATAGAGTGACGTAGTTGAACCAATTACTTAGCTTTTGCGCTGATTCAATGAGAAGAATATGAATATGGAACTTGAGAACTATCTATAAATAAATTTGACTTGTCTGTCTTTTTGTCTTTTTTTATTTTTCAATAAACGACAAAACGGCAGAACCGAAAATTCGTGCTTAAAAGTTTTTATTTAAAAAAAAAAATTCTTGAAAATCCGCAAATTTTTTATAAAATCCGCGAAATTTTCTTTCTTTGTTTTTCAATGTTACAAAGAGAACATGTTCACAATTGAGATAGAAGATGGGCGCTAAGTATGCAATAAACGACTATGAACTATAGTTATAAATATTTTATTCGTCTTCTCCTTCAACATCAGGCTTTCAATTTTAAATAAATGATTTGGCAAAGTAACGTTCATAGACAAGATGGGAATTAGTTGTAAAACTTTAAATCGCCTTTATGCTGTGGCTCGATTTTTGAATCTAATGATGTTAGCACGGTACTCGAAACAATTCTCCAACTCCTGCAGGGATTTGAAAAATGTTTTCTTTCTGTTGCTTGAAAATCTATATATTGGTCAAGTGGAATGGGCCTGTGTAGTGTTATTGGTTCTGTTTCATTTTCATCGGCTTAATAATTATTTCCTTAATGTGTTGGTAAGTTCCCAGAGAACAATTTATGACCCCCTCCAGGCCCCCTCCTATCAATTTTGTACATGGATATAATTGATCATGTGGCCACAGCGCCCGGACCCCTAGCCGCAGCGCTCGGCCCCTAGCCTGTCCTAGCCGCAGCGCGCGGCCCATAAATTGTCTTTTAACCCAACCTAACCCTTAATAAGTGGTCATGAACAAAATTGATAGGATGGGGGGGACCCGATGCTTTTATGCTTTATCTCACCGTATATACACGATAACATAAAGATTTGCAAATACAATCACACCTAGAGTTTTGTTGCATCCTAACCTGTGTACACTATACAGTGTTGTATAGACCGTGTTTTGAACTGTTGAACTTGGATTGAAGGATCCAGGAAATCAGGATAAATCACAGTTCTCTCTTTCTCATACTCTCTGGGTCCTCTGGGTTCAATGTAGTTCAGAGGAGTTGTACAGGAATTTTTTCAGGGGGGCTTGATTTTTTTTATTTTTCAAGGAGGGGATCATAACGCCACATGGCCTTTAGTTTTAGCTCACTTACTTGTTAGAGAAATCACTAGAAAACAATGGAAAAGGAAGTCGACATTATAGCAATACTTAACTGTATTTGACTTGTTACAAAGCAAAAAGTTTAACTAGCATTTGTAAACAGAACAATTTCATCAACTTAATGAAATGGGTCTGTTAACTTAAGGGATATTAGTTCCAAAACTAACACTTGGCCCATTTCTAACACTGAGTGTTAGAAATGGGCCAAATCTGCAAAGCTATCTTTTTCAAGCGTATATATCCTTAAATCCAAGACGAGTAGAACAAAATAACACCATATATTTAAAAAAAAAGATCATTTTCGAACATATCCCTATTTTGAAACAATTTCCGAATTTCAGCTCATGTCTCGTTTTCGGAACATCTTGGTTTTGAGACAATTACCGGAATTCATATCAATGTCAAGCATTTACGCACATATGTAACAAAACAAGCTTTTTTGATAAGGTAAAATATAAACAAATTAGAAAATAAAAACAAACTGTTCTTTTATAATTTAAAAATCATTACACTATTGGGAAATCAAAATATTAATATCATTTGTTCTTACAATATAGATTTAACTAGAAATGTGGGAAACTGTTAGTTTAAAATGCTTGAAAATAAATCGTCCATATTCTCTAATTTAACAAATAAAATGTGGAAACTTAGATTCTAGAAATAATTCAAAAGTTAATTTAGTCTTCATAAGATAATTTTTGTTTTTAGTGATTTATTTTGTAAGTTATGAAAGTAAGTTTTGTTATGAGTTGTGGTAATTATACTTAAAAACGGGAACACTGGTTTGTCTCGTAAGCGCGACAATATGCTTAAAATTCAGAATATGTTCGCAAATGTAAAACCTGACATTGTCTTGAAAACGGTCAAGAGATTTAATATAAAAGAACTACTATTATAACTTTGATTTTTTTTTAAAGTTTAAAATTGGAAATTGCTATCTTCGTAATGTTTAATAAAATGTTTGCTATAGTTTTTATTATCAACTTTTACTCTGTATTTGGACTGGGATCCCAAAAAACGCAGTCTTTCCATTTGTGCCCATTTCTAACACCCAGTGTTAGAAATGGGCCAAGTGTTAGTTTTGGAACTAATGTCCCCTGTAAATGTGTCTCATGCTCATGGGACTTTTTAAAATACTTTATTTAAACATATGCAATATGCATTGTATAAATTGTTTTCTGGTTAAATATTCTCATTTTTATTGTTTTATGGAGTAACTCTACACAATTTTAATTTGACAATTTTTATTTTTATTTCACGAACAAACCACCATATATGGTTTATATTTGTATTTTCAAGGCAAAACGGGAGAGAGAGAGTAGGTGGGGGGGGGGGATGGCTTTAATAGATGTTTCAATATAAACCCGATGTACACACTTTTTCTTTCTTTTTCTTTTTAATGTTTTTATTAACAGAATATGTTTCTTATAAAACGTAAACATCATTTACTCCTAAACATGCAAAATTCACAAAAGCAATTTGATTTTAAGGGAGTATACTCCTAGATCTGTTTAGAGGGAGTATACGCCTAGATCTGTTTAAAGCGAGTATACATCTAGATCTGTTTAAAGGGAGTATAGGCCTAGATCTGTTTAAAGGGAGTATACACTTAGATCTGTTTAAAGGGAGTATACGCCTAGATCTGTTTAAAGGGAGTATACACCTAGATCTGTTTAAAGGGAGTATACGCCTAGATCTGTTTAAAGGGAGTATACGCCTAGATCTCTTTAAAGGGAGTATACACCTAGATCTGTTTAAAGGGAGTATACGCCTAGATCTGTTTAAAGGAAGTATACACCTAGATCTATTTAAAGGGAGTATACGCCTAGATCTGTTTAAAGGGAGTATACGCCTAGATCTGTTTAAAGGGAGTATACACCTAGATCTGTTTGAAGGGAGTATACGCCTAGATCTGTTTAAAGGGAGTGATCGTGAAAATTAATTTGATCGGAAATATTCGGACAAAGACAAATCATATCGAAGACAAAACAGTTAATAAAAAAATATCAAACACTAAATACTTCAAATTGAAAAACATAACAAAGATGAAATACTTTAAAACAAAATATAAACATATTAAACACAAAATGTTAAGAATTATAACAGACTTTTCAAAATTCATTAAGCAATGTAAAGTTGTGTAGATAATTATTTTTTATTTGATTATTTTCTCGTTTAGATAATTATTTTTTTATTTATTTGATTATTTTCTCGTGTAAATATGTTAACCGAAAACA